TTAGGTTGTGGATAAGTTGACCATAAATTAGCCGCAATCGTTAAACATGTTTCTGGTAGTTCAAGTTTGATAGAAATTGTTGGGAAGTGTTTATTTACAGTTTCCACTAAGTTTTCTTTTAAACGGATTACGGACAATTTCTCAGACGTTTTAGAAAGTACTATAGCTGGCCATAAAGATCTCAGCATTTTCCAATCGCGTTTCATAATTATGGGATCTTGTTGCGGACCAAACAAAATATATAAAACACCCTGTTATAAAATAGCAATGTTAACGAAAAATCTCGTAAGAAGTTATTTCATTTTTATTATTATTATTACCTTATAAGCGTCATGATTTTCTTCAGCATCCTTTTTTAATATATCAATTATCTGTGGAACGATGAACGTATAAGAGTATGATAAATGTTGAAGAGCGCGGGAGAGACTGGATTGAGCCTGCGATCTCACATCGGCGTACCTGCTGGTAGCCAATGCGAACAGTTCTAACATTATTTCTTTATGAGTTTGTGTTAAGTTAGAAAACTGTGAATGAACACGCGTTTCGTGTTGAATCTCTGCACATTGTAATACAAACGGTCCCATTAGTCCTTTGTTTCCTCCTAAATAATCCTTCATCATTTTCATTACAATTTGGAAATGTTTGCGCCTCGCTTTATGAGCATCGGATAAGCGAATTTTTCCTAATAAAAGACTATTCCAAATCTAGAATTAAAAGTTCAAATTAACTTAACTTCTTTTACTAACTGATATCATACAGTATTACATTAAAATGAATACCTTTATTAAAATAAATAAACTTTTCGTGTCGTCCTCCGCATTCTTCAATATTACTTTTTGTACATTATTCATAAGCGTGGTAATAGAGCGTCTCACATTACTGCCATCAGGCATTAATATTTCTTCCTTTTTACCAAGCGTTGGCGTAAAAGACACCCACTTTAAAGACGATTTTACTGTAACTAATGGTTCTTCTTGCCAGACTGGTAAAACAGACTCACAAGCTTGAACAATGCTGTTTATGATATTTAAACTAGTCAGCAACTCTTCCCTGCAATCATATACATATACGTACGTTAATAGCTTCATTTGATTTAACGGAACGAAAATTAATATTTGATAATAACTAACCTCGTCAGAGTATTCCAGTCTTCGCAATATTTTTGTAATTTACTTATTTCAGGCAAAAGATATTTATAGAATATTTGTTTTACCGCGACCATTTCTTCTTCACCAGGAATATACCACTTAACGCTCAAAGTATTAATATCTAGAGCTTGTCCCCAGTGCATGACCTCAGTACATGTAAATTGATATGGCATCATAGTAGATAAAGAAGAAAGAATAGATTTCAAAAGTGTACAAGCTAGGTCGTTTCCTTCTCTTGATTTTAAAACTAGGACTCGATCCAGGACAGTAGTTAATGTATTTACATATGGTAACAAATTATTCCCAGGTGTACAAGTGATTGAGGATAATAATAACATCGCGTATAAAAGACGACCGTCTAAATTTTCTTCTTTTATAATATCATTACTTTCACCAGTAATGTCTAAAATAGTTTGTGAAAGTACAGGTACCAACGAATGCAAAGTTTTTTTGCCATTAACACGAGCGAATATTCGACACAGCACGGCGGCCAGCTGTCCAGCAACCTTAGTTTCTAGAATATGCTCAGTTACGAACGTGCGTAATTTGTGCAAAGCGCACTCAAAGATCTTGTCGTTAATCTGTATTAACAACACTGTACACACTTCCCTCAGTACAGTTTCCGTAACTTTTTCCAATTTACTTCTCCCATCGCCAGCACGAGTTTCCAGTCTAACAGTTTCTAGAGAACTAGAATCTATAAAAGAAAACACTCTGTCCAGAAATTGTAAAACAAAGTCTTCAAATCTCGCTGTTGCAGTTTCGTAAATGATTCTCTCTTCCTCGTCCACTATTGTAGTTAGTATGGAAGGGTCTACAATAGGAATATAAGTAGCATAGACTGAGATGAGACGAAAAGCAACAAAGCATTTTTCTGTGTCGTTTGGATCGATGCTAGGCAAAAGTAAAAATAGTAATGGCAGAATATGCGTTGGTCCTTCTGGATAAGTGTAACCTAAAACAAAGCAAAAGAAAACTCATTTTGTAACCAAAGTAAAACTAATAATTTCAAATAATATGCAACAAGAATACGACTCATACCTTTATTTATATTTCTAGATCCTTCTGCCATTGGTCTAGCTATGGCTGCCATGTAACTCAATGTAGCATTCAATTTATATGGCTCTGTTGTAAGAGAGTCCAATGTAGAAGAGACTCTTTCCAAAACATCTGGGATTACTAAACTAGGCCTCATAGTGGCAAGATGTTGCAATGCTTGAGAGGCATCGCTAACGCATAGCTTGCTAGCCATAGCTGTCATGGTTACTGGCATCATACTTTTGACAAACGCGTCGATATCGCTATCAGTTAATTTGCTCTCTTCAGGAACAGGTGTCTCCCATGTTTGCTTAGCATATCGTTCTCTATAGTAGTAGTAAAATACGCGTTACTAATTTCTGAAGAATTATAAAAATATATTCTAACAATACAATGATACTTACTTGTGTAAACGTGCGACAAAATGATATGGAAGCTTTACAAGAATTTCCTTTAATTTTCCCAGCCATCTGCCAGTATTGGCTGGATGAAAATATGTCTCTATAGTTTTTAAAAATTTTTCAAGATACATTTGGGCAGATGAACCATTTCCCTGAAAATATACATCATATTTCATTCCTTTTAATATAGTTAGAATTGGTACTTAATAAATTAAATGGCTGATAAAATCCTACCAGAACTGCTGCTATCCATATGGCTATGGGAGATGTGTCTATTTTGTGATATTTACATCTCTGTATTTGATTGTAAGTTACTGGTAGCCTTAAGCATCGCACAAATCTGGTAAACATTAATGGAATATGGGGTTCCCAATTAATGTATCCAATGTTATGAGAAGCCAATCTTGCCATTAACCACATCATACCATTTTCCCAAGTTGGTGCATTATGACAGACCTCCCATAATGACATAAATTCATTGAACCATAATTCATGTCCGATAGAATGATGTTTAGGAGATAACTGTACTGGTAAGAACCATTCTAATGTTTCCAAACTTGCAGACATCATTACGGAATCGAGGGGGAAGAAAGTTGGTCTCAACTCATCTAATATTTCCTGTGTTGCACTCAACTATTGTAATGAATTAATCTCGATCCTTTCACCGACTTATTTTCAATAAAATAATCACTTACAGGAAAATAAATTTTTACAGCATGTACAAGTATGTTTAATGTATCTGATAAACATGCGAAAGAACGATACATTCCCAAGAAAGGTTCTTCATTTGCAGTTACATGATCAACTAAATCAAAGAGAGGTTTCCATGGAAGTTCTAGCTCATCAGGAGAAATTAATCCTTTCTTCCTAAGAATATGAGGACAATGGTAAACTCAAGCATGATGATTAATAATAACACAATGCAAAATTATATGTAAAAATAAAATCAAACTTACTTCAATAATAAAATTAGTGTGAAACTAAATCCACTCACTAAAAATGGTTCAAGTTCAGGAATTGTAACCAGTTCATACATTAATTTTATAAATAAAATATGATCTTCTTTACTGAATTTCATTCCATAGATTTTTATGTACCTATAATAAATACACATAAATATTATATTTAACTTCAAACAAATCTAACTAGTGACAGCTCATTCATTTGAATGATGAATTCAACTTTATTTTACAAATAATAAAGAAGTTTCAAATGCTTACTCGAATAATCTAGTAACCCAAAGAACACATCCTGGTTGTATTTCACGAAGTATAACAGCTCGTCCTAAATTTGCCTTGATCTCAGCTAACAAAGCCTGAGATTCCGTCTCTAAATCAGTTACATAAGGTAACAATTTATTGTATTTAGGTTTCCTTTGAAATTGAATATTGACACTTCCAGTCCGTGAACCCATGGTTTCTCTATTCTTTAAACTTTTGTAGTTGCAAGTATCTTCAGCTTCTTCGTTCATAGTTATTTAAACGTATTGTCACAAGAAAACGATACAGGTTAAGCAGATGTAACTCACTAAAAAGCCCGCGACACAATGCGAAATCATGTACGTTTAATACATTACCGAGTCGGCGACAACTTGCTTATTTTCTTCTTCATTTTTATCGAGTCATGTTTTGCATGTCAGTAGCCATATTTGATGCATTAACTTTGAAAGGTTCGAAGGAAAACCGTTAGTATAGTTCGTGTACACGCACATGGAACTAGAGAAAGATCGATGGCAACTGTCGATACATCGATGTTCACTAGACCAGCGGTTCTCAAACTAGCATTCACATTATTGGGAAATTATGAACGAATTTCCAATGGAAATTTATAAGCTCTCAGAAGAGATAAGAAATATTATATTGGATGCATTTAGCAAGGCTTATACATACAAATTACAGGAAACTATCCTGGTCTTAGTACCAGTGGTGCTATCGGTGGGAAAACGTTCAAGTTTATAGTGAAAATAGTTCCTACTGTTACTGCTAGATGGCACCACTAACTAAAGGAATCGATAATTAGTGCTGCATTAAATACCTATTAGGATAAATGTTTAAAAAATATATTGAAATGATATATTGTAGGGTTATTAAGCAAAGAATCGTATCAGTTATGTATTTGTGAAAAATAACGAATAATTGATTAAAAGATATCAGTGACGCCATCTAGCAGTAACAGTGGAAATTATTTTTACTACAAACGTGATTTATTATAGAATACATTTACAAATTGTTTGTAAAAAGTGGATTGAAGGTATCTTTTTATATTACTTTTATACATAGAGATAAAAAGATCCAAGATGATGTATCTACGATGTTTGAGTTCTAGTAACATATCCTCAGGAGTTCTAACATCGTGGATACAAGCCTTTATAGCGCAAGCACCACTGCTTACCCCGCTTACCAACTCATATACATACACCACTGTCCACTGCTGTCACTGGCTGTCACTTACTGATGTAAACATATGACAGTAGTTGCAACGTTGAACTTGCAAAGGGCAAAGTGCAAGAGCAATTGCAATTGTATAGTAAACAGGTGTGCAATATTGCCTGTCAATGTAACATTCATACGTTGTTCCTTATGAAATTAATTTTATATGAATCGAACAAAACACTACATTTCCTTAATGATTATTATTTACCTTGAACAAACCTCTAAACGTGATGTTCAATCTAAGTTAAGATTCAACTGTTTTATTTATATTTAAACATATGGCGGTAGATTTCATTTATACATCTATTTTTACTATTATCAACAGTTTTGTTTAACCAAACCAGTACTGTACTTGTTTATCAGTTAGTAAGAGAATCAGTTAATATACGAGAATGAGGACTAGAAAAACATTCGCGATTCTTGGAGCAGGATTAATTTTAGCCTGCTGCATTATGATATATTTAATGATGGATTTAGAACTTTTTCCACCTGGACAAGGATCCAAACTTTCTGTTAATGATGTAAGTCTCCATATATATATATATAGAATGTTATATACATATATTTTTAATAAAATCTTGTATTGTATGCTTTTAGAATCAGTGGTTACACTTTGAAAACAGACTAGCAAAGCTAGAAAAAGATTTCAATAAACATCACGAAGTTATGAATGCTTTAAGAGAAGTGGCTGAAGCAAAAAATTTTGTTCCCGTACCTCAGTCTGTGAATCATTATAATCGCTCTATTTTTTCGAGTTCTTCTCATTTAGGAAAAGTACTTACATGTAATTTTAATATACAAAAAGTACCAGAAGTAGATGTACAAATGTTAGAGATGTATAAACAATTAGAATTTGATAATGTGGATGGTGGGGTTTGGAAACAAGGATGGGATATCACATATGACGATAAGCAATGGCATCCAAATAGAAAGCTAAAAGTTTTTGTAGTACCACATTCTCATAATGACCCTGGTTGGCTTAGCACCTTTGAGAAATATTATACGCTTCAAACGCGAAATATATTAAATAATATGGTATCAAAATTGGTAGAAGATAGGAGGCGTAAATTTATTTGGGCAGAAATATCATTTTTCCAACTTTGGTGGGAGGATCAATCTAAAACAACGCGTAATTTGGTTCGACGTTTACTTCACGATGGCCAGTTGGAAATTGTATCAGGAGGATGGGTTATGCCTGATGAATCTGTGTCTCATTGGATGGCTCAACTCACGCAACTTACAGAAGGTCATCAGTGGTTGAAATATAATTTAGATTATACACCAAACTCAGGTTGGGCTATAGATCCATTTGGTCTGTCTCCAACTATGCCGTATCTTTTGAAGAATGCTGGATTGGAAAATGTATTGATACAAAGAGTCCATTACTCTGTTAAAAAAAAATTAGCTAGACAAAAACGTTTAGAATTCCGATGGAGACAATTATGGGATAACGACGGATCAACGGAAATATTCACCCATGTTATGCCATTTTATAGTTACGACGTTCCGCACACTTGTGGTCCAGATCCAAAAGTATGCTGCCAATTTGACTTCTTTAGGCTTCACAGTTTTGGATTAATTTGTCCATGGAAGATAGCTCCGCGAGCTATAACTAAAGCAAATGTTGCAGAAAGAGCTGGCCTTTTATTAGACCAATATCGTAAAAAAGCTCAACTTTTTAAAACAGATGTAGTATTAGCACCACTTGGAGACGATTTTAGATACACTCACTTTACTGAGTGGGATGCTCAATACAACAATTATCAAAAACTGTTTGATTACATGAATCAGAATCAACAAATGAATGTCCAAATTAAATTTGGAACATTAAGTGATTATTTCGACGCTATTAGAGAGAAATATAATTTAAATGAATTTCCTACTTTGTCAGGAGACTTTTTCACATATTCCGACAGAGATGATCATTATTGGAGTGGATATTATACATCAAGGTATGCTTAAATGCATACTAATTATAATTAATTATCAACAAATATTTATTAAATATATTTTAGGCCCTTCCACAAGCGACTAGACCGCGTGTTACTGAGCTTATTGAGAGCATCAGAGATATTAAATACCATAGCTTGGGCTAAAGGTAATAACAAATTAGTGGAAGGATCTCTTGCACAACGGTTAACCAAGGCAAGGATGTGGCATTCTTTGTTTCAACATCATGATGGTGTTACTGGAACTGCTAGAGACGAAGTAGTTATAGATTACGCAAAGAAGATGATAATGGCTTTAAACAATTCTGCTCATGTACTTCAGCAATCAGTTGTACATTTATTAAAAACTTCCGAAGAAGCTACAGTCGATACAGATGCCGTGTATATTTCACTCGATGAAACTAGGTTTAAATCAAATTTTTTATCTTTTTCAGAAATCTAGAATTTTTGTGTCATTTTTAATGTCCAAAGAAATTTACTTCTTATGTTACAGATTACGTCATACTAGCGCAGGAGACAAACATGTACTTATACTTGGGGATGAAAATCCCGTAAAAAAAGTTATTCTATACAATTCTCTTCCAAGACAAAGGGTGAAAGTACAGACGTTAATTGTCTCAACACCATTTGTCAAAGTTACGGATCGTATGGGTCAACTAGTGGAATGTCAGATCTCTCCAATTTGGATAGGCCCTGCTGCGTTAACTGCTGTTAGATATGAGTTATCCTTCTTAGTAACAGTACCTGGATTTGGTCTTACAACATATATAGTTCATATTCTACGTAAATCATCATTTCCACCGTACGATACTTCTTTACATAGATCTCTTTATATTTATTCTATTGATTTAATTTTATCTTTGTCGCGCACAGGGAAGTACACCTGGCAAACGTGACTGTTTTTAACACAGATATAAATCTTCCAAAAATACCAGGTTTCAATCAAATCCAAATAGTATCGAATTTGCAAGAATTTTCGATTTCGCAACGACCAGAGTTGTCAGCATCGTTCGGAAATTCGGGTCTCTTGAAAGCTTTGAGAGTCGGTAACACAACGTTTCCAGTTCATCTGGAATTTGTCAAGTATGGTACTAGAGGCTCTGGTAAAGATAAAAGCGGAGCCTATTTATTTTTACCCGACAAACCGGAACCAGATTTGGTATTTACGGACAATAAGTGTATCGTACACTTGATAACTGGACCCATAGTGTCCAAAGTATTTGTAGAATTGGCTCATGTGCGTCATACTTGTACTCTGTATAATTCATCTGGCGGCGATGGGCTTGGATTACATATACTTAACGAAGTTGATATATCAGAGACACAAAATTATGAACTTGCCATGAGACTAAGTACAGATATAACTTCAGGAGACCAGTTCTTTACAGATTTAAACGGGCTTAATGTAAGTATTAAATTTGTTTTAGAATATACACGTATGTAGAAACTAATTAATATACTTAAAATCATAATCATTACTTAGATGATTAAGCGCCAAAGGTTTCCAAAGCTTCCTACACAAGGAAACTATTATCCAATGGCGGCGAGTGCGTATATAGAAGATAAGAAAGCTAGATTAACAGTAGTAACAGCACAACCATTAGGTGTAAGTTCTATGGCGTCTGGACAAATCGAAGTACGTATTTAATACTCGCTTGAATTAAAGTAGAAATGAAATTGTTATAGCCCAGGAATATTTGTATATAGATCATGCAAGATAGAAGACTACTTCAAGATGATAATAGGGGATTGGGGCAAGGTATAACTGACAACCTATTGACAAATCATATGTTCATGTTTGTTCTTGAAAAGAAAAAGTCTCCTTGCCCGTCTCCGTCGCCGGCAGTTAATCATCCTGCAGGATTATTATCACTATACGCTCATTTAGCTTCGGAAGAACTACTACATCCAATAGTCGCAATGCATCCGCATTCTTTTCCTTTCGAATTGAACGCGCATTTTTCGCCACTTCGTTACGATCTGCCTGCAGATTTGAGTATCGTCAGCTTTCGAGTGTTTCCTATTCCAGAAGGAGCTGGTAAAGGTATCGGTATGGTCTTGCATCAAGCAGCTTTAGATATGTGTTGGAATGATAATTCATATACGCGCTATTTTAATATCTCCGAAACAGGAGAAGTCGATTTAACAAAGTTCCTTAATTATACGGATGATTGGATCATTAGTAAAGCTCCTATCACATTCCACAATGTAGGGCCATCTTTGAAGTCACCTATCGTTAATTTATGTCCGCACCAAATATTACCGATTCTGTTTCATAGAACACAATCTTAAGTTTTACGAAATTTAGTACTTTATTTTTACATAATTTCACAGTAAGTTAGCTCGGTTTCTTGCTCATTGATCCAGCATCAACGGCCTTACTCAGAATAATGTAGTGTAATTGATTCGATACAGATGGACTGGTCTTATCTAGCTTGTAACTGTAACAATATTAATCGAAAAGGAATTATACATAATACGAATAATGGAAACAAAATTAGTAATTAGTTTTGTTTTGATTGTACAAATGAGTCTCGAAAATTATGATCTTATTAACATATACTATACTGTGTACAGTGAACTAGCCTAGTCTACAATTTTTACTACGTAATATTTTGATTATATTTATCAAATTAGATGTAAGTAGCACTAATATAATTTTAGTTGAGCAATGTCATGTCATATTTATATGCATATAGATAATAGTCATTTGATAATAAAATTCTAAATGGACATAAAATTGTAATTATTATCATAAAAAATTCACATCTTTGAGAATAAACTTTGTTTTCATTAATTAATAAAATGTTCATATTTCCTTGCATTATTGTGATATAAATATGAAAGAAGTTTCATTACCCAAGAGAATAAAAGAACTGCATAGCTGATGGATTATGTTTAAACACAGTCACAACAACTTTACGCATTTTGCTCTCCAATGCCATAGATTCAAGGGCTGACATTATGAAGTGACCAAGTCCTTTTCGCCGTATTTCCGATTCCAATTGTATTTCATAGCTATATTAAAAAATAGAATACTTTTTTAATTTTTAGAATTTTTACAAAATACATGTATATAAAATTTACACACCAATATAATACTTCTTCTCTGTGATCCATGGTAAAACGAAAATGAGAAAATCCAACAAATGTATTGTTTAAAGATGCTACTAAATACCAAGCTGTTGGTTCTGTTAATTCTTGTTGTTTAGCTACTGGATCCCAACCCCAATCGCACTCTTCATATAGAGATTTCATATTACGTTCCATAATATCAAATACCCAAGATAAACATTCAGGTTGTGCATCCGTAGCTCTTGTACAAAAAAATTCAATAGTTTGATTGTCCGGTGTTTCATATTTGTGAAAAAAATTTAAATGGTCCAAGGGATTTGTCACAGAATTTGCTTTATCCACTAATTGTTGTGCTAAAGCTTCCCTCTCCGCTAGGATCTGACGTCTTGTTTTTCTTTTCTATACAAAGAAAGAAACTGATTTAACATAGCAATGTAATTTATGTATATACGAAACTTGTATGAGACTGATAAAATTAAAATACCTAATTTAACTATTTCAAGTTCGTATGGTACAAAAAGTATGTTGATAATATATAAATAAAAATAATACCTTCATTTTACATTCCCTGTGTTTATTAAAGCTATTATGATTTTAGGTTATGTTCTTCCTCCGGTGAATAGGAAACGAAAGGTTAATTATTTCGATGTAAAAGACAAAATATCTTAATTATTTAAGAATTTGAATAACTTTATCAAGGTACATAACATTCTTTTTCAAATTTATTTACAGTATGAAGCGTAATTTATAATAATATAAATAAATATCTCTGTTGGGTTACAAAGAATTATACATCGTGTTTCATCGGTTTATCACGAAATATATGTATGTCATGAATTTAAATGAAATGTATATTATCGAAAATTTCTTTTTATAAAAGATCACAAAACCTTTATGTTATTATAAAAGGTTGCATGACTTAACATTGCAAATAGGCCTGTGTATAACACACATTATTAAAGTACGTACAAGCAACTGTGTATGTGTGGTACCAATCGCATAATATGTATGCACTACAAAGTACAATAGCCATTGCATTGTGTGTAGCCTATTATATACGTATGTACGAACATTTGGCATAAATATGTGTGTGTTTATTTGCGTTTTCTCGTAAATTAAGAAATTTAAAAAGAAAAAAAGCTTCGAATCGGTAGATAAAGTATTCTCACATCGTACATGCATACGTATATATATGCGTACATTCTAAATATTTTTACAAATCATTTGGAAAAAAACTTTTATGGTGATATCACAAATTAATTGAAATTTCAACGGGTTGGCAACAGATGCATTTTGTACTTCATTGTTAGTTTCTAAAAGAGTATATTTATTATAATATTTACTTCTGATTCAATGTATAACCTTTTCTTGTTGGTCTATTAACTTTTTTTTCTTTCGATTAATATAGGTTAAGTAACTTAATCACGTATTATAACGATTCATCATATTTGCCTTATCGTCTGCAATAATGTACAACATATGTTGGCCAAGGATAAATTAACTAATGATTTTACTTGCTAAAATCTCATAAGTGTTTCTGTAATTACGAAATATATCGCGTAAATTCTATTGTCATTTTAATATCTCTGGCTTACATGTATTCGCATTGATATATTCTTTTTAGCATGATAAGTAGCGTTCTTAATAATTGTTTTTGTCTTATTTTAGGTATTTCAATCAAATATTGAGGAATGGCTGAAAATGCTACTGCATCGAATGCAGAGGAAAAGCCTGTTTCCTCTGCTATGACGCAATGCTATGAAAATTATATCATAGTCGACGTTGGTGCCAATCTTACGAATAAAAAGTACAGCAGAGACTTAGATAGTGTAATTCAAAGAGCGAAAGATGCCGGGGTTCAAAAGATTATGGTAACAGGTGCAAGTATTCGATCTAGTAAAGAAGCATTACGGTTAACTAGGATATACCCTGGTACTCTTTATTCTACTGCTGGCGTGCATCCCCATGATGCAAAGTCATGGGAAAATCCTGATACTTTACAAGAACTCAAAAGTATAGCTAATAATCCAGAATGTGTAGCAATAGGCGAATGTGGTTTAGATTATAGTCGCGACTTTTCTGATCCTGAGACACAACGTGCTGTCTTTCACAAACAAGTAGAACTTGCGTGTCAGTTAAATAAACCACTTATAATACATGAAAGAGGCGCTCAAACGGATGTTTTAGAAGTCCTTGACCATTATAAGAATTGCTTACCACCGGTTTTAGTTCATTCCTTTATTGGAACTGCAGAAGAAGCACAAGTTTATTTAGATCATGGCTTCTATTTAGGAATTACAGGGTATTTGTGTAAAGATAAATCTGATAGCGGTATCAGACAACTGTTAGAAAGGGGACTTGCACCTTTAGAAAGAATATTAGTTGAAACAGATGCTCCGTTTATGTATCCTAATACTAGAGCCAGTAAACTACCTACGCATGTTAAAGATGCTCTCACAGAACGATCCATGACGTTTCTTCATCGTTATTGTACTTTTCAACGTAACGAACCGTGTGCCTTACCAGCAATAGTGGAAATGGTAGCAGCATTCATGCAAATCACTCCAGAGGAAGTCGCCTTAGCTACTGCTTTCAATGCTTTGAAATTATTTGGTCTAAATCAGTGATATTAATCATTTTTTATCATAAAAAAAAATGGTGCTAGTTGGTGCTATTAACATTTTAATTATTCTTTTACAAATACACGATCCCTTTCTACATTTTAAAAGCATTGTTTGTGTGTCTATACACATGTACCTTTTATAATAAAAATAACGTACATTGATGTAGCCTGCTGAGAAAAACGGAATTATAGAAGGAACGTGGCAAACAATTTTTATTTTATTTACATATTAATAGATACTGCCTTCTATATATGTTAATCATGTATGTATACATAATACTCATCCATATGTTAAAATTAGTATTCCATAAAATATTTCATTTATTATGATATAATACAAATTTTGTAGGAATATGTATAAAATACATAAAATTCAAAATCATACAATTTTATTGTTGATATGTTATAAATATTTTCATATAAATAAATTGTTACACAGATACATAATTGATCGTAAACGTGTTTTAAATGAAAAATCCCAGTTTCGAACGCATCGGCAATGCCATCGTTAATTTATTATATTCATTTTTTAATATTTCAATGCATTAAAAAGAAGATTAAATCATTTGAATGGTAAAAATAAGATTTTTATTCTCTTTGTAACATATTTATACTTATTGTACTTGTTTACATTTTTGTCACTTACCTATTACAAATATTTTAAATAACATCTAAAATTAATTGTTTGTACACTCTGAAACTTTACATTTTAATTGTATAGCTTTTTGAAGATAATTTCTTTGTTCATTTGTAGGAAGTTTAACCCATAAACTCAATTTTATGATAACAGTGCTACATTCCATCAAAGCTACTAATGATTTTAACTCTATTTCCCATATACTGTGCATACATTTTAAATTAGAAGAATATGCGTTTGATGGAATAACAAAAATAAATAACCTGTAAAAATGATATATATTTTCATTATAATACATTCTTTCCATAGCATAAATCCTAGAAATAAATATTAAGCTTTGATTGAAATGTAAATTTTCTTACTTGCGACATTCTGGTGGTATTTCTAATTCTTCCGCGAATATATTATCATTGTTGTTGTCATTAATAGCTATTGGAGAACCATCTGGTTTTACCACAATAGTATAGTCTATAGTAACAAAATAAGAAATTTCATACTAACAATTTTTATCCTTAATTAATCATACAAACAATTAAATTCTCACCAATATGATGACCCAATTTTGTTTTCAAACCACTTTTTATGTATTCATCACCTCCTACTATTTCTGTTAAACATTGTTTGAAGGAAAGACACTCGTCTTTGTTGCTTAATGCTGTGATTTCATTTACTGTGTTTTCATTTAATGTAACTCCATCATACTGAGGATAAAGGCTTTTAACGATCTGATGTAATTTCAAAACATTGAACTTAATTTTTTTGTCAATTAGATTATTGCTTATAGAATGATATAAGGTAAAAACTTTTTCAATGAGCTGTGAATTATAACAATCCAGTGCCAATAGATGTAATACAGTTGTTGCTAAATTAGAAAATGAATAACTTTCATCGAGTTTATTAATAATATATTCGCATATCATTGGTTTTAATAGTTCCCAATTCTGTGGTTTATGATTGGCAATATTTAAACCTCTCAAAAAATTATATACTTCATATTGTGTACAATCTGATAACAGAGATGGACTTTCAATATATTGTACTGATAAATGGTCTAACAGAGGAATATAGCTGTAATTCATGTAATTTAATTTCTTCAAGATTTTAAGACTATCTTTGAAATTTACACTGTTAACTAAAGCAGCTTGAGTTAATGCTCCTACAACATTTTCATCATAAAAAAGCATATCCCTAAAAAAGAAGGAAATAAAACATAATAAATTAATGAAGTGGAAAATGTAACATATAATTATAGTTATCAAATACTTACCCCATCAGAACTTTCCTAGAAATAAGAGAAAGTAAAAATATTATGTCACTATCACTTAATAATCGAGACATATCTTTTATCTTCTGATTCACATGATGCAAAAGATGTATATAAGGCTTAGGCAGAGCAAACTCATTTGATAAAATGTATAATGCATGATAAGTAGGTACTATAAAGTCCAAAGCTATGATTTTGAAATTCTTGAATAAAATATCAAGAATATATTGCATTGTTTCGAGATCCTTTATATCTTGAGCAAATTGGAGAGTACTTAAAAAAGTTTCTCTATCTTCCTTAGTTAGTTCAAGTTGTGCTTGTATACGAAAAACTATTGGCAACGCAGTAACTAAAGATTTAATCAAAGGTAATTGTTGTTCTTTTATCAGGAGTTTATATACTTGTAATATTTGTAAAATTGATAAATCATTTATAGAAATTTTTATAAATTGAAGTAATGTTTGAATTAATACAGTGTTAGATGGGACATTCAAATGTAATAAAAGTTTCAATGTATATATAATCTGACCCATGCTCAAATATCTCACATTTTTATGTATCAATACACATGTATCATTAAATTGTTTAGAATCTTTTATATATTCATAACTGAATTCTTTATTTGAATATAACGATTTCAAAAAGGTAATAGCTTCATTCAAACACATTTTCATAGCAATTTGTGCATCACTTTTAGCCACATCTTTAAGATTATTGTCTGAATTTGAAGCATTAAATATCTTTACATTTTCCTCATGCCTTTCCAATTTCTTAGATACTACAGTATCTACAAAGTATATATAATATATATATGTAAGAAAGTATTATTCAAATTCTTAAAAACAATTAATAAATTATTCCATTACCTTGCATAGGATTTTCGAAATTTGATAATGTGTTACATGCATAACTTGACGTTATCAAATTACGTAGTTTAATCGAATTTAACGTTAAACTGTAATAAGTTTTAACAACCTTATTCATCGTGGTAACGTTGTTTAAGTTTATAAAAAATTCTGTAATAAACATCAAAGTAAATATTTAGAATTTATGAATGTGTCAAGTTGAAAGCAAATTCAATTAATACCACAGTTTTATTGATAAAATAATAGTTCTTCTATAACATTAACTTCGAAATAGCATTAGATGAAGCGTAATAGAAAAGCATGTCTAAGTTTAACTGCGTTAATTAACCTAAAAGTAGTACTTTGAATGATTTTGGGAAAAAATATTAAATTCTAATAAAAATTTAAAAAATCATGAAACCAAGTAATCCTTTTTTACAAATGTTAAACAATGTTAAATTTCATCTATTGGATTAGGTTAGATTATGTTCAGATGTTGATGTTGGTTGATGTCAGTGGCGCCATCGATACATTTACTAAAAAAAATACTTTGATTTCATAAATGCATACTTAATACGATTTTTTGCTTTAGAACGTTACAATATATTAGTTAATACGTCAAATTTATTATTTTATGAGTAAGTTATACAATGCTGCAATAATAAAAAATCTTTTAGTAAGTGGCGCCATCTCGTAAAGAAGCGGTTAAGCTTGTAGTGGAAAATGTTGCCATTGTTCCTGTTAGATGGCGATACCAACGTATTTCCATGAATGAGCGATGCACCTAATCAATGTTGATAATCAACAGTTGATCAGTAGTGTTTTGATTTGTGGTTAGAAGAATATGTTCATTGCTTTTTCTTCGCGCTATGTTAATCAATTTTTGGAAAAATGTCAGATCAAGTAGTAAGGCTGGGAATAAATAAATGTATATTGTCAAAATTGTGGTACACGTCCCTAATTGTTTACCAAGAAAATGCTAATGGCAAATCATGTCAAAGTGACACTGTGGATTTTGTTGAATCTCAGACTTTATCAGGAAACTTAATGTATATACAATAATTATAAGAGTATTATATAAAAGTCTAAGTAGAATTATCCTCTCTATTTGTTAAATATTTTTCAGTCATTTGCAAAGTAAAAGTCAACATGAGTGGATTACTCAAATATTATTGCAAAAACTTATCAACAATGTTGCTTCTTCAGATGTTAAAAATCTTAAAAAACAACATAACTATGTGCAAATGATACATGCTTTACAATTATGCAAAAATTTGACCACGGACATACAACAGGTATTTTAAAAATTGAATCATTTACTTAAATCATTTAATGATTAATTCATTTTGTATTATATACTTCATAGGGACTATTAATGATGTATGAAAATAGTTCAAAACAAACACGTTCAAAAATTCTTGAAAAAATACATGAAGAATGTTTCACATTTTTAAAACAAAATATGCATAATAATTTAACTGTTGTTTGTTGGATCATTAATGAATTATTGTCTGCATGTGTTAACAAGTCAACTAATATTGCTTGTAGTTTACAAGATTTATATTTCTCTTTTATAAAAGAATTACTCAAATTTAAATTATCCAAGCAACACTTTAGTGACAATGCTGTTGGACATGCATTATGTATTATATCAAAAATGAACATACTTGAATCCAATACAGATGAACTGTTGAGATGGTTTTTTCCTATGTTGTTTGAAACATGTAACATTCAAGATATTGAACTTGTACTATACTCAAGAACAGAGAGAAAACTTTTTAATGCATGGTGCACATTTATTAATGAGGTTTATGGACATACTAAAGTTGCTGACAATTTGAATGATGCATTGAAAATTCAAAAAGGACTATTTAATAGTACTTCAAGCTGTACCTCATTTATAAATAAAAATAATCTCATAAAAAGAGTAACTAACATGAAACTGCATTGGGTTACAGATATTTTGGTAAGTGTTTAGCTAATATTACAATTAAAATTATGATATTATTTCTATTTAATATCATCTTTCTTTCAGGATATTTGCCATGTTTTAGTGAAAAATGAAAAATATGATGATATTTCATCAATATTATCCTGTAAATTGTTAAAGTCTTTTTGGCCTGTTGTATTATTTAAAGTTTTAAATGATTGCATTCAGGATATTCCTAATGAAATTCAAGAAAATGAAAACATTATGTGTAATTCAATTAAATTTTTAATATCTAAATGTAATTTTGATGCATGGCATGATTCTACTTTACTAGAACTTGACATTGCATTAAAAAAGAATATTAGAATTATGGAATATATTTTGACTTCAATGAAGGATAATTCTGTTACAAATGGTAACAATCAAATTCAAGAGAAAATTCAACCAGTTGATACATTTCAACAGAGAATAAGTATAAAACAAATATTCAATACTTTATTGCATTCTAATAGTCTGTCAGTATTGAAATTAACAACTGACATACATGAACAAGAGTATAATAAAATAGAAAATTTATTAAAAGATCAGGAATCAGAATCAGAAAATATTTTCTATGCATATTGTAGTATGTTAAGTGCTTTGAAAGCTATTTTATTATGCGATAGTTATCACGAAAATCAAAGCATTATTATACATCACTTTACTGATATGAAATATTATGTACAAATTTTATATCCACTTAGTTTGCGTGTAGAAGTTGTGGAAAATATATTTTCTTTACTTTTCTTGCGACATGACGATTTTGACCATACTTTAAAGAATTATAATAAAAACAATACCAGTACCTTAAGTGAGAACAAATCGATGGAACAGCCTTTAAGGGGTTTTATTTGTAATAAATATGCTATTAAAGATGTGTTATTTCATTTAAAAGAGATTATGTTAGTCATAGAAAATGAATTTACGAAAATGAAAAAAGAAAATGAGTGTACAGAAGAAGAGAAGCAACTTCAAAAAGATATCTCTTCCATTGATGCAGTAATAACAGATGCTAAATGGAGATTAGAAATTTGTACAAATTCACAATTTACAGAAGATGACAATATATCTAAAAACGTAAATAAAATTGAAACTGAACCAAAAGTTCTATTAGATGGAAAACTAATATCTAATCGTTTCAAAGAAAGTATACTTTTTTACCAAGAGGGCAGTGCTTCGGATGAAACAAAGATTAGATCTGACAGCAATTCTGAATCAGAATTGATACATAATAATACTAAATTGCGAAAACGTTCTAAAAATGTACCGCCGACAGTGGACACCGTATTAACCAAAGATACCATATACAAACCATTATTCGTGAACTTAATGTTAGCAACTAAAGAAAGCCTAATTATTCAATGTTTATGGAAAAATGATTACGCAAAGGCGCAGGATATTATAGAGGTAATTTTACTAATGTAGAAAAAGTATTTATATATTTCTTATCGCCGTTTCAAATTGTTCAAATGCATCTTCCTCAAACTCGGTAGGCTCGTATGTAATAAATTGTTGTGTCTCCTCTTTCTTCTTAACTTCTTTGGCTAGTACTCCAGGAGGATTAAGTGCATAATATTGTTTTGCAAATAAAATTCTTTTTCTGGGAAAACAAACCTTGCAACGGAAACACCAACAACACCAACCTATGGAATAACAACCTTCTATTATAGATCATTACCAAACTTGCTTTTCTTCGATAAAATCATTCAATCATCTAAATTACCTTTCTGACACCAACAAGGTATCGCGAGACATATGTATATTAGAAACCACACCCTGATCATCAACCACACTTTCTGTACAGACTTCTTCAAAGCAGGCTTTTGACGTTCATAATTGTCCACTAAGCAATCTATAGCTTTAACACCAAATTTTTTTGATGCCTCTGTACAGTTTTTGAAGTCAAATAACTTTTGCAGTGTTTCTGCAGGATATTTTTTTCTCTGCGTTTCTTCAGATGTATTTCCTTTGGTATAGTTCGATATTTTGTCCGTAGTTGTATATCGTGCTATTTGTTCATCATATTCCTTTTTAAACTTTTCATAATCATAAACTTCTTCACCTGGTTCTGTTTCTTCAACATACACACTGGTTGTATCCACCTCATGCTCGCGTTTTATTCGAAACATTTTCTTATAAAAATTTAGATTTTTGTTCTTTGATGATCTAGAAATAGGTATTGATTAGAGCTATACTTTTATTATTATTTATAGTTTATCCATTAATTATTAAACACTTTATCTAAATCTTCTTTAAAGCCAGCAATAAATGGTAAATTATTTCTTTCTATTAAGTTAGAATTTTCCCATACAATTGGTTCCAGTTGGTTAAACACATTTGCAAACTGCATTTTCTTTAGAGTATCTTGGTTATTATAATTTTCTACCAAAGAATGTAGCGGTTTGTATTTGCTTTCATCTTCCATGTAAAGTTCCATAGCTGTAAGATCAGCAGGCTGAATCATTTCATTTTCACTTTCTTCATCATAGTCTTTATTATCTGATGCTATCTCAAATACTTTTTTATCTTGTAAATTGGCCTATACAAAGCACATTATATAATAGTAAACACATAAATAATAATATTTAATAAATCATTATCATTCACTAATACTCAACTCTGTATAGTGGTAATGAATTAACAGAAACATTTAATAACATCAATACAATTGATACTTCCTGAAATAGCATGTTCAATTGGTTCTCTTTTTACTGTTTGTTCTTAGACAGCTCATATAAAGAATACCCAACTACATGGAGAAATACAATTTTCAAAAGCATTACACATGTTTAAAGACAACGTTTATAAACAAGCAAATATATTGGAAGATAAAAATGAATCAAGAGAAAACTTACAATCTTCTGCATTAGAGGTATGTACTATACATTAGTACATAAGTTATTTAAAAAAAATTATTTAACACAGAAATCATTCCACAGAATCTAAGACTAGTTGCACAGGAAGGTATACAGTCTTCCAGACAAACTAGCCAACTTGAAACATTTTTAGCATCCCAAGAAACTAATTTGCGAATGTTAAAAACTGAAACTGTTAGCAGCAACGAAATATTGACGATATGCGTATTAGATCTAGCTTTAACTATGAGTCAAGTCTTCAGCACGAGCAATTTTTGTAAAGTTGCAATGAAATATTTAAAATTATGTAAAACATTTGACAATACTGAATACGCACATTTCTTTTCCACAATTTATCAATTGTTATACGAGACAAAAGACGAGTTCTCTATAAAAAATATACTCTGTGATACAATGATATCATTGTCTGTAAAGGAATGTAAAGAGAAAGATGACTTTTGGACTGATATTGCGGCTAAATACCACGAATTTAAAGAGTCACAAGCAAGTAAAGATACAATCAATGAAATATTGAAAGATAGTAACTATTTGCCAGGTTTAAAAATACTTGGTAAAATGGCTGTTATTTCAAGCGGAACTGAGAAATATATGCAAAATATGTGCTCCCATTTACAGCTCCTACATACAATTATACCAACTGATCATCAAATATTCACAGTTTCTGATTTACTCAAAATTCCGTTACCTTACTACTTTGGTCATCAAATATTCGAACTTAAAATTGAGCCAAATAAACTCGAAGCTGTTGCACACAATTTACAAGTTAATTTAGTATATAGTATTCTTACAAATGCATGTCCTAGACTGTTTTACGAAAAAAGTATAAAATCCGCTATCGACAGTAAAGAAAACGGATGTATCATTTTAAATAAAGCATCATGTAAATCGGTATGTATCAAATTTTTTGTAGATAGTTCTACTACATTTCAGGGGACATAAAATAATTATTGCTATTTCAGGACCATAGTCATAAAATAGAAAGACCAAACGAATGCATTTCAGATATATTATCAGAACTACTGCAAATTTTGCAGAATTTAAATTTAGGCAAATTTTACTTAAGCCACGATATTTTTAAAGCTATTTCCCAGCATCCTGACATTCAAAATGCATTGAATAAAACAACTCGTCTCATAAGCCTAGATTTGAGTGAATTATCAATGGGCAATGAAACGTTAACTTTTCTTCTGAATACGTGGAATCTCATGTTTCTACATGCTAATTTGACTATCTGGGCGTATCAACCTCCGTTTAGTGATTTGCAACATTCAGTTTCATTGATGTCGATTGGTTATTTAATTGGTGATTTAGGTCTAGTAACGCTTACCGCGCTAAGAGCAAAACTGCTAAATAATATTATGGTAGAGAAAGAGTTTTTTCTACAACTTGAAGAACTTAACGAACCTGTATGGCAAGATTTGGATATTACACATGACCCAAGAGTGATCTTTCTGATGGCTAACGAATTTTATGGAACACCTTGTATCCGAGTAAGCTATAATTTTCATTATGTATCGTGAATCATTTGTTAATATGTTTACTTCCCTAGGTCTGTACTGCAGAATCATTAAACGAAGATTTAAGCACCGCTTTTCATGAATATCTCGATTATTATTCATCGAGATTTGAGAAATCACCGCAAAACATAGAAAAGCAAAAAATAATTATGCTACCCGATATCGTGAAACAATATCAAAATTTCATTTCTCAATATTGTAATAGTAATTTGTATGGCACTAATAACAGCGATAATATATTTTCAGTAGATAACTACTTTAAACTCTCTAAAAAAAATGTAATTATACAATATACAGCGTCTTCCTATTCGTATGATATAATATTGAAGTATACGAACTACCATAATATACACCATCAGAAACAGGTCAATCAGTATAATAGTGTATGGAAAACTCGCAATATAAGATCAAGTTTATTGCAATATTTGGAAGGACATTGTTGGATTGTTTCTTATCTTTTACAAAGAATATATAACGAACATCCAACTATTCTAGAAAACAACTGTGATAATCTGAAACGTATTGCTTGTCTCGAAAATCTTTTAAGTTCGCCGTGGGTCATTGAAATGAAATCGTTGTTTGAAAATAATCAAACGCTTGCAGCTATACTCGAAACGATACCGATGCAAAAGTTATGGCTTCATTTCGAAATTGCATTAAAAGAAAACGAATGGCATACATGCTTGAAACTTCTAAACACTTTGCCAGATGATCTGATCAAACGTACAGAATTGCAATGTTTCAAAGATAAAGTACTCAGTTACATAGTTTCGAAAAACGATACTGCATTGAATGCGGAAATATTGCAATATGTGTATCAAATTAAAGATGTACATATACTATGCCAGACAGTATTATATAATATAAATAAATGGCACATAAATGTTTGCGAACATGCTTTGCTTTATGCAGTAAATAATTCGGATAGGGACAAATTACCTACACACTGCAAATCACAATTAAATGAAATTCTACACAGAGTATTTATTTTTCATAAAATGCTTCCGTATTGTGAAATGAAATCCAATGGGAATTGGTATGACATTGCTTACTGCACTGAAAAAATTGATCCATTTCAAGTTATCAAAACGTTAATAAATGCAGAAAAATTTGAATTGTGTTTAGAGTGGTTGGAAAGTCAAGCATTCTCCTTGGAAATACACCCCTCTATGATGCAAGACTTGTTGTTAGGTCTTTTAAAAAATGAAGCTCAAAACTTTAAGCAAACATTAAAGGTAGTTAAGAACGTTTAAAAAATTATAATTTACGCGAATCGAATACTAACGAAATTTTCGCTTGCAGTTTCTTCAAGCATTACCTTTGAATCAATCAATCAATCTGTGCAAGACTGTATTAAAACAATTACAGTCAATCGACTCGCTTCAATTTATTTCTAATTACTTATTAGAGCATTGCAAAGCAACAGAAACCATCAAACGTAGAAGGATCTTGATAGGAATTGAAATTCTGAGCATGTTAAAGGCTCCAGAAAGATCATTGTACATTCATCTGATAAAAGAACCATTGTTAATGTTAGAACAGTTATTAATGAATTGTAAATTTGAAAGTCTTCAAAAAATATTAAATAGAATTGAAGAAAAATTAGAACAAGTGAATATTTCGAGAAGTAGCTTTGACGAAATTATAAAATTCTACGCTCAGAAATCATTAGATTGTCGCGTGTCTTTGCAATGTGATAACACAGAAAGCAAATCAAAGAATGTGCAGCAATGTGTTTTGGAACCAGAAAATATTGAGTTTGTTATGCCTGCTCTAGTTCCTACAAAAGAAGAATGGGTACCCAATGATAAGGTACACAAGGATGATGTAAAATATTCTGATATTGCTTTGTATTTAATTGTTTTAACTTCTGCTTGTTTAACAGGCTACAGTATGCAGTTGTTGCAAAATCGTTATATTTTCGATGTTTAATAGACGACACCATTGTCGTAGATGTGGTCGTGTTATCTGTGCTCAATGTTCTCAACATCGCATGCATGTATCTGGATATCCACCTTCCGTACTTGTACGTGTGTGCAATGATTGCAAGCAACAGACAGTGTTGCAAATGCAAGTCAATCAAGGAACACCGTCTACTTCAAGTAGCGAAATGTTTGATTATTGGCAATTAACGAGAGATCAGGAGCATAATCAAACTATCAGAGAAGAATTTTCATTCGAGTACGCGCCAAACATTTCTTTGTGTTTGGCTATCCTAAATTTATATTCTGACCATAAAACATACACTAGGTAATGACTGTTTAATATATTTATATAATAATTGTATATATTCTCGATATATGTATTTATTGTTTCAGCTTTTTATTAGATCGTTGCGACGAAATAAAACATCTCTTACAACCTGTTAGTGGCGGGAAAGTAAATCCAGAAGTAGATCATACTGTAATAATTAAAATGATACGTTCTCTATTAATTGCCGCAAAAGTGAAATGCGCGAAACTTGGTTTTAGTACTGGATTAGCACACTGCGATGGTTTTTTATCGCAAATAGATCTAATCGCCAGTTTTGTTCAATCTGATTGTTTACATCTCATACCTTCTGATGATTTAAAAGAAAATACCTTGAGAAAGTTTAGAGATCATCTGATTGAAAAAGAACAATGGATTCTTGCTCTAGATGTGAGTACCAAGGCTGGATTGGATACACAAGGTGTCTGGGCGACCTGGGGTAAAGCATGTTTGAAAATGGGATATTTTGATCAAGCACGAGAGAAGTTTTTCCACTGCCTCGATAAAATTCAGCATGAAGATATCGACGATTGGGTTATTTTGTCGTATCCCAAAGATTCGTTAACACAGAGCAAAAGAGAAATTCGAAAATCGATAACCGAGAATAAAATTGACGAGAATAAAGAACTCACAATGGATGAGCTATGCATAAGAAAAACTGAATTTATAAAGAATCGTCCGTTGAAAGATCCACCGTTACTTTCAGAAATTTTACAAATGTTAAACAATTTAAGCACGTACAAACAATATGTACAGCATTCTCAGTACAAGACTACCGCATCGCAAGAAGTACTCAGTAACTTTGGAAACCTTAAAATGACAAGTCAAGGGAAATTCTTTGTTAAAAATGCGTCTTCAGCGGCACAAAATGTTTATTACTACGAAACTCTTTATTATTTACTGACTTATGGAAGCTATAATTCGATTTTAGAATTTTTTTTGAAACACGAGGAATACAATGAGTGCCTTACTTTTACTTTGGAAAATGATTTAGAACCCGATTTGTTTTTTAATTCGATTTATTTATATTGCTTGAAGAATGGAAGTACCGAAAAACTTCACGAAGCTATGAAAAACAAGGATTCAAATTTATTAATTTGGAAAAAATATTTAATATACGTGTGTCACAGTTTAGAAAGGAGGCAATACTTGAATATTTTGTATCAGTTGCAACTATTTATGGAAGACTCTGTACGAGCTGCGATGACGTGCATTCGTTTTTATCGTAATGAAGCAAGCAATTACACAGATCTCTGTAATAGAAGAAATTTCTTGCTCGACGCCCAAAAGCACTTGGAATCTGAATTGCAAATTGAATCATTAAATCGAAAAAGGAAAAAAAGTACAAGTTCTATACACAGCAATCAAGGAATTTTAACAATGGAAATGGAACTTTCGGAAATAGATAAACATATAAACACGATCTGTAGACAAATGGAACTTGCGAAGTTTTTAGCAACTTGCGAAAAAGAGGGAAGGGCTCCAATGCAGTTTTTAAATTTGTTTTCACATAACGAGTGCGATAATGCGCACACTTTAGAATTGCCGACTTTATTTGGTAATCAACAGCAGAAAATAGATTTAGCTGTTCTAGCTATACTCTGTGGGCACAATATTGAAGAAGGATTTGGAATAGCATTCAGAATAATGCAAGGTGTTCCAACAATTTAAACATAATAAAACAGTATGATTTGTTCATTTATATAAACGATATATATTATTTCAGATTATAATCTACCACAGCAGAAAGTATACTCTTTAGCTGGCCATATCTTGACCCTGAAAAACAATATTCCAGGAATAGAACAATTAATTAAATGTTGTCACACTTCTGGGATTCCAAATTCATATATTATATCAGATTATGCTTTGACACATTGTGTGAAATTGTTATTGAACCGTTTACACAGTGAACCAGAGTCCACTGAAAAGAATGATGTTCATAATCTTGTAAGATTAATAACAGACATAGAACTCAAAGTAAGGTTGTTCTATACATATTAAGTTAATAATCTTTCAGTAACTTTCTAAAGGCTTTTATTTTTAGATAAACGCATATATCGAATGCAAACAACTAAAAGCTGCATACCTATTAGCTGTTAAACATTCGCGGTCGCAAGATATACGAAAAATTTTAAAAGAATCTGAAAGACTTGGTCAAAATGCGATTAAAGCAATATGTGTAAAATGGCTTCAGCAAGAACCAAAGTCATAATTTTAAGGTGTATATTATTGAAGTATGTAAAATATTGGATTAGTTCCTCTATTTCTTACTATTATAAAATATTTATCTATCGTATTATAATTACAAAAAATCTAACTAATACGATCGTAATCTTGCAAATTTTATGCGAAAGTTCTTAAAATGACTGTAATTGTGGATTAAAAACATCGAAAATTTTATTACATTCCACAATTATTTATATAATTATATATGTACAAAGTACTTTATTTTTTTATAATTGCCTGTTCTTCCTTCTATAATTTGAAATTAGCATATGCCTTAATTAAATAGTATAACTATAAGATGTAATTAAATAAGCATTGTGAGATCAAAAAGTGCAGTAATTGCAGTGTTTAAAAGAATTTATTTAAATCGAATATGTATATGATAATAAATAACATTTAAACACTTAATAAAATACGTCTATTTTCATAAACAAAATAATACATCTTTTTCAATGATTTGTAGTTATTGTACTTGAATTCAAACACTGTACTAAAAACATCTTTTGTTACATACTAGACAATGCTGGAATGTACGTATATGAGAAGCATTTAAATAATTTCAATTATCTTTCACCATAAATTACTCCAAAATCCAATAGTTTTAATTATATAAATAAAACTAATAAACTCTATTATATTTTGATCGTATGCCTTTTCATTTAAAATGTATTTTATCTTAATTTCTAATTCAATGAAAAAAGTTCACATTTGCCAGGACACATGGCAAATTGTAAAGATTGTATTAATTATTTTTGGCTGTTTATTTATGATTTTTTATCTTCACTCACTAAAGCTGCCAGTTTTTCTTCATATTTTGTTGCAAATGTAGGGTCAGTATTTTTAATGGACAAAAGTAAAGAATCCTTTTCTTGCTGAGACCAATTATTGCTCCATTCTCTAAAGAGTTTCACACGACATTGAAAGAGGCTTGGAGGTCTGTCAGATCCTTCAGAATATCCCAAATTTTCCATTTTGGACAGCAGTCCATTGACAAGACCTGAAGGTCCACATTGTTCCAGAAGTACACTTAAAAAGTCACTTCTTTGCATTTCTGACCACTCTTGAAACCATTCTATTACATAGCGCAGTTGGGCTTCGTTTGATAACACAGTAGACATGTTTTATCTTTAAAAATAAAAATCACAATTATGACTAACATACATGAAAATTACAGAAGATTATAAACTTGATAAACCACACAAACAATTAAAGTTAGATGTTACTAAAAATATTAAGAAGTAAGAAGGACAGGAAAAAGATGAATAATGAACTATGGAATACTGTTAAAAAGTTGCAAATATACGAGAATATTTCGATAATCAATCAATAATTCGATAAACAGGATACATTAACGTACAGAGTATAGTTATAACTTTGTAGTTTTGGTTGTACCATAACAAATTTATACAATAGTAGAAATTCATATTTACCTGACGCGTTTTCAGTTATTGGCGATGTAAATTTCGTTCACGTATTTTCAATTTATTGCTTCCAATCATCACAAAACATTCTGAGTAACAATACTTATCAGTAGAGATGAAATGACAAGTACATCATATCATATTATAACAATACACGTGAATGTTTTGTTTTACAACAGTATACAAACGTTTTATAATGACAAGTAAGATAAACAATTATGCCGCACGATTAATCGATTAATTTGCATTTCTTAGGGTTAACTTCGATCTCACTTTCAAAATCCGAATCGCTCTCCGACGTTAGCCGATCTAAAATTGATAAAAATTGATTAGATTCCACGAGTTTACGAGCGAATAACTCGCGTATTTATTTTCAACATTTTTTCTTTGTTTATTTACTTTCAACATTAACCGAATCATCTTGTTTGTTCACGAGGCTACTTATAAAATCGTTAATTTTAATTTGAATATCCTTTAAAGAAGAAATCACACCGGTCAAATTGTTCCCACTCAGATCTAAACTGTTATTATTCTCGTAAATACACTCGTTATTATCACAAATTTTTACGTGAATATTTGCGTTATTCATGATTTTGTTTTCCAATAATTTTTCATTGACCTTGTAAAATATTTTCATCCACAACATGCATGTAACATAAGTTTTATATTGGTCAATACTCATAAAAGCTTGTACTATTTGCAAAGCGAGCTGGTGTGTTCGTGTTATTTTCCAAAATCTTAAAATTTACTAAAGAAATAACTTTGCATTATGAAACATTCATTTAATATATGCCATTCAAATACTTTTTAATATTATCAATGAAAGGATGTGGAGAGTTTCAATGAAATTTCATAATTTTCGAAGAATGCACGCGTTTTGTCGTCAATATGCAGACTCGCCATTAAGTGGGTCGTGTCGCATCACCACGCTTGTCATTTGTTGGAACTAAATATTTGAGACCAACTATAGCGTTATATTGAACACATTGTATGGCTGTATAATAAATGTGGTTCTTAACCTGTAACGTAAGAAGCTGTACTTGACAGACTGTAAAGGCATATGTTTACATTACCAAAATGGTTCTACTGGAGAACGATGTGGTAATTGTTGATATCCACGAAACTGTTGTTTTAAAGATTTTATGTTAATTTTAATTTTAGTTTCTAGTGGAGCTGACACGACTTTTTGACAAGTCTCGCATTTCTGGTTCTGTAGTGCTCACTATTAAAAGGTGTAAGTACTCTCATTATTATTGTATAAGTAGTTCAGAAGTTAGAGATTTTATCCAAATATTCTATTTGTCTTTTTAGTTAATGGACACAATAAACCAGTGCCTAGGGAAGGCAGGCCTCCTCTGCCAACTCCAAGCGAATTTCTCTGTTTAGTGAGAGCTACTTTGAGATCCAAGAAAATTTCTACTGTTGTATGTATTCATGTTTTTCTAAAATGTTTTTCTAAAGGAAACATGGTGCAGAAATCATATATTTTGTGTTACAGATTCATTCCAAGGATGTAAATAAATTTCAACAAGCATATTGGAACCTATTAAAGTCAAATATCAACGGTCTTAAGAAATTAAAGAAAGTCAAATCTGCGAAACCTAAAGTTCATTGACATAATATACAACAATTATCTATAATATGTTATTATTAATACTTTTGTATAACGTGAAATCTATTTCCGCTAATGTATAATGCGATACTATCTAAGAAATAAATTACGCTTTATGTAAATAATATTAATACAAATGACTGAATAATTTTGTACGTTTTACACGAAGTATTTTACTTTTGTAGTTTACTGTAATTCCTTGTAATAAGAACATTTTAAAAGAAGAGAGTGGATACTCTTTCTTGAACTGATGCACATATATTGGAACACCCTGTAGAAAATGCGGATACAGGAATTCACCAATCAACGAACGACACAAATAATACTGTACTTATAAATGATGCATGATGATGCTTTAAATAAATCATAACAAATTGTACTTAACTATTCACTGAATTTATACTTTGTATGCCTCGTACCAAGCTGAAAAACGATTTTTATTTCAACAACAACATTTTGGCAATAGTTACGTATTATTAAATATTACCAAAGTAATGAAATTATTTTTTTTCGTTTGCTAATGAAAATATCAATAAAAATTTGCTTAAAATACAAGGAAACGGTGTATGTACATCGAAATGTTGTTAAAATTTACTTCCATGTACGGAAAACGTGTGGTTAGGTAAAAATATGGAAGGCGTGCCCCTTGGCGTAGGCCATTTTATTGTGCGTTCGGTTTACAGGGATTATTCTTCCAGGGGCAAATGAAAATGACCGAAACAAGCTTGGAATCGTAATGTAAGTGTCACAGGAATACCAAAAACTTCGACTTTATTCTTGGTGCTTTTCTCAAGTACTTTCTGTTTTTTCGAAAACGTAATTATCGAGTTACAAATGTAACTACGATATTTTAATTTATGTGCACGCATTCTCGGTTGTGAACGGCGACTACAAAAGTGTGTGTGATTTTCAGAAAAGCCCAAACAATCTTTCGTTACTCTTAATTACAAGGAAGATAAACAATGGAGAATATACTGGGTATGTATTATTTCTTTTTCGATTAATCAAATTGTACTTAGTACGTCGGTGATGTAAAATATACGATGTGCATCATTTTTGTTGTAGAATTTGTGAAAGTTGAGGACACGGTGATGATAACACATACAACTTTGGAGAACTTATTTGGTAACTTTTTATGCATAGTTATAATTTATATACATCTTCATATTGATATTTGGTTATTGCAGACTCACATAATGGTCAAGAAAGTATTATAATGTCCACTGAACCAGAATCCAGTGACATGAAAGGCATGTATTATTTATGTAGTTTTTTTAATTGATTTTAGTATTTTATGTTGTCTGATTTTGTCTATTTATTTATTGTGGTGTTGTCTATTATGCTTTTGCAGTTATTGCTCATGGTGGTGAAATTATTGAAATTGTAACAGATTATGAGTGTGTAACATGCCATCGTGTTTTTCAGTCTCAGGATGTAAGAATTTAACTTGTTTATTTAATATTATTTTTAAATTCAAAGTAAACATATGTATTTTATGACACATTTCTTATGAAATTATTGATCATTTTAATAGATGTTGAAGGAGCATTTAGATGTGTGTAGGGAAGAAGATGATTCCATGAGTATCTTACAACTAAATAATCTAGAAACGTATGATTCGGATGAAGATGATAAAGATGACAATTCATATTGTCTTGTTGATACCAATACCGAAGGTATATATTACAATCTATACATGTTTTTTTGTTTAAACACATACAACATTTGTGCACTAATAATTGCAGATTCTACTTCTGATGGTCAAAAAAATAATAATTATAAGCCAATAATTATGCCAGTACCTGACACCCAATGCCATTGTTGCGCAGAAGACTTAAAAACAGCTCATAGTGGTGGTGAATATAAGTGTTCAAACTGTGACCTTTCATTTAAGAAAAAATCATCTTTAGAAAGACATGGTATAGTAATTCACTGGCAATGCAATTCTTGTTCTTGTAAAGAATGTGGAGAAACGTTTAGTGATAAAAAGTCATTGAATAAACATCGTTATACCACTCATGCCGATAGAAAAATTTACAAGTAAGCATTTAAAGGAATTTTTATGGTATTCTTCGATTGTAAGAATTAATAACTGCATAGTATAATTTAATGAATTTCAGATGTGAACCCTGTGATACTTATTTTTCTCGAAGCTATCATTTAAATCGTCATATAATGCAGTCTGGTTGTCATGGCAACATTCTTAATACATACAGTTGTCAAGTAGGCATTTTCATATTAGGTATAAAATTCGTATACAGTTAGATAAATTACTTAGATAATATGTTATATCTTAATAGGACTGTAACAAAGTTTTTACGCGTAAGGATAATTTACGCGAACATTTACGTACGCATACTGGAACTGTACAAAGACAAAAGAAGCCTTGTAAATATTGTTCTAAGGAATTCTTTACCAGTCATCAATTGATAATTCACGAACGTGTACACACAGGAGAACGACCAGTTCAATGTGATTTATGTCCAAAAACATTTTTGTCATCTCTTGCATTAAAGAAGCATAGACGCGTGCATACAGGAGAGAAACCATTTGAATGCAAATTTGTAAGTATTGTTCGTTCTAGTTCTAATTTTAGTTTTTTAAATAGTATTTTATAATAGTTATTCTCTCGCATCATTTTATTACAAGCAAGCATTATGGATAGGGAACGTGATGTAAGTTTTTACTGTCTTTAAATGCCTGTATTTATAGTTATTAAAACAATGTTTAGCGGATAAAAATCAGGCTCGTTTAACTATACCATACGAATTAAATTTAATGCTTCATAAAACAGCGTTTATAGGAAACTTAATTATTTTAGTGTCAAAAGAAGTTTGCTGCTAAAGAAACTTTAAATCGTCATCAAAGAACTCATACTGGTGAAAAACCATATGTATGCCAGTATTGTGGCAAATCATTCATTCAGGCAGCTCAGTTAAAAGCACACTTATTTCATCATACTGGAGAAAATGGCTTTTACTGTGATGTATGTGGTAAAGCATTTAGTCGAAAAGCTCGTTTAAATGTTCATAAAAAATTTGTCCATGAAGGCGCAACTCCATTTACATGTAAAGTTTGCAAGAAGAGATTTATAAGAAAAGAAGATCTCGGGAAACATACATTACTCCATACGGGAATTAAATGTACGATACAACATTTTTAATTTCGATATTATGATTTTTAAGTAAAATAAAAAGAGAATACTGTGTCCATTGGAAATGTTTTTCTTATTTCAGCATTTAAATGTGACAAATGTGATAAATCGTTCTCTACGAAGTCTTCCTTGCAAGCTCATTTGAATACTCATAGACGAGAACCACCACAATCGTGTATCGAATGCAACAGAGTGTACATTCGACAAGATTGTTTAATGAGGCACATCAAAGCAAAGCATCGTGAATTATTGGAAGACGTTATGAACGAAGTGGAGAAAAAGCATTTGCAAACGCAAATGTATAATATCGCGACAATCGCTGCGGAGAAAACAAAGAAAGGAGAGTCTAGGAGACTTACTACCGATGAATTACTAAAAGCTATTTCGGATCTTTTAAAAATATTAATCGATGATGAAACCCTTCAGGTATGCATTAGTATGACGTTTAATATAATAATAATAATTATTATCATTACGCTTGAATTAACGTATCTTGTATTTTATAGCTGTTTGGGTGGCCTGATGCCCCTATTCAAGATATTTTAGAAGCCGTGATTAGAAGATGCGGTCATCCGCCGTTAACATCAGACAGCGGCTTACTTTTTACTGAACGATTAAGGGAGAATGTTAAACTTCTGTTTACCGTTGTTATACAAGATGAAACAGTTAAATCTCTCTTAACAACAAAAACAGTAGACGATGTCATTCTACATGTTTTAGAATTATCAAAGGAATATACGCCAAGCTCGTAGTTGTACGAGAAGAAACAAAAATTGTTAATATTTTTATTCACGAATGAAGTGTTCATTTTTTCTTTTTTCATTGGTATTTCAAATTTTTAATGAATTATTTTCTAATGTGGGATTGATTTTGACGATTGTGGAAACATGATACCAATAGAATTTGGAAATACATAGCATAGTTTACTTGATATTGTTGTTACAGTGTACTATATAATATTACAGTTATTAAATTGCATTAGAATATTGATTTGATATATTTTCTCATATATTTTCTTTCTTGCTTGGATTCGGAATTATAAATTGGGCATGCCTTTTTAATTATTATCCTTTAACATAAACATGGTTAAATTTACTGAACATTTTATATTCAGCAGTATTTTTATATAATATACATTGTTTACAAACTGTATGTAATGTATACATTATTTTATATATCCTAAATATATATTTTTTCCATGATATATAAATGGTGTTCTACTGTATATAGATTATTCCATTGTTAACAAAAATATTAATTATTTTCAGAAACATATAGTAATATCATGAAATATCATTTTAAATCATACTCACGATTTCTCTTTAGTTTCATAAATAAATGATCAAATTTACAATTATTTTGTAAGCTTTTCCGATGTGATTCAGTATCTTTCTTGTGATGTGTTTCAGTTCTCATTCCGATCAAAACAGATAGCACGTGGAAAGAGGTTAGGAAGTGTTGTGTTCGATAGAATTTGTATATTTGTTTAAATTTTTCATATTTCTTATTCATGATGATTGCATTAGATACTACGGCAAAAATCGGCAAATCACCGAAAAAACCCCAAGGTCCGAATTAAAATTTATTTTAACATTACAAATTTTTCTGTACGAAAAGTATTTAACCTAAAATTTTGATCTCTACAAAATCTTTTCTAAGAAAAATTCTACAAATTTATATTTATCTCATTCTATTTTATTCAATATTCATATTAAAATTTTGATTAAAAAATATTGTTGCAGTGGAAATAAGGGAAGACAGTGATGATAATGAACAAGATAGTGATGAAGATGCTATGGAATCTGAAGAACAGGAATTGGAAAGCGCAGATAAAGGATATAGAGATACAGATTCCGACGATGATGAATCTAGTACTCATAAATCTGAAGGAAATCCAAACTGGGCAGATGCTATGCAAAAAATTCTGCGTACAAAGAAACCTAAGCGTAAGAAGACAATAGTTTTATCTAAGGCAAAAAAATTATGTGATGTAAAGAAAGAAAAAAGCCAAGATGTATCATTTGAGATTGAAAAGGTGAAAGAGGAAATTAAAACAGAAGAACCAGAGGAAACTAAGAGTAAAGTACAAAGACCACTTACACAATTGAAAGAAAGAAGAAAAGACAATTTGGGTATTAGAGTAAAACCAAGTATAACAGATAGAGAACGTGAAAGAGTATTACAAAAAATTGCTACAAAGTAATTATGTCATTTTATAAGGATAGAAGTTATTTTAGTCATTTGTTCAATATAATTAAAAATATTACCTTCATTTTTTACAGAGGTGTAGTACAATTGTTTAATGCAGTAAGACAGCAACAAGGGGTCATTAATGAAAAGTTGTCAAAAGCTGGTCCATTGGAAAGAAAACGAGAACAAGTACTTAAAAGTATTGATAAAAATTCATTTTTAGACATTCTTATGGGTGGAAGTAAAAGTATTCAAGTGGATAATGATGTCAAAAATGAATCACGCGAGAATGAGAAAAATAAGGAAGAAGTAAATATGTTACACTTTACATAAACATTATTTTAAGTTGCAAAAAATAATAGAACACTAATAAAAATGCACAACTTTGCTTAAAGGAAAAAGGAGTATGGAGTGTGTTAAGGGATGACTTTGTTATGGGAACAAAGCTGAAGGATTGGGATCGTAAAAGTGATAATGAAGATTCTTCTGCACCAGAAGATATAGATAGTGATAATTAAATTTTATGAAAATATAGAATGTTTGTGCATCTATCAAAGAATCATTTATACAAAATTGATTTGAAGGTATGTTGTCACTATTTCTGAACTCATCATATTGGAAAGTTATTATTACTGAATATGTTAGTAGAATCAATTAGAAATCATTTTCAATATGCTTCTTTATTGTTAATTTAATCTTTACCTTTGCATTAAAATCTATTAAAATTGTTGCCCTTATTTTTGAAAACAATTTTTGAAAAAAAAAAACAAAAAAATACTAAATTTTTACTAAATATTTTATTTTAATAATAACTTATATTTGATATTTCTTGAGCTACGCAACAACAGTAATAATAATGTGAACAATGTATAATTTATCATATGTTTATACGCATATATGTGATTCTATCTAAAATTAATTTTCATTTTTCATTTTATTTATGCCATATACTTATGGCTTAAGAATAGCGCGATATTTTTTTTTTTTTTGTAAAATGATACAATACACCCCTTTGTGTATTTAGGTCACATTATTTTAGAGTAATGAGTCAAATTTAATTTAGGTCCGTACTTGCATATACTTGATCTGTACATAGGACTTATCCTGTCTAACAGTCATTCTATACACAGCTTATTTATATATATTTTCTTTTTATCATTTTCTCGCAATGATAATTATGCAATTAATATGTTATCGACTTTATGGACATGTAGAATTAAAAATTTTAAGCATTTTGAGCTAAGCTTGTATGCCAGACATTAACGAGCTTGTTACATTTTATAGTAAAATAATATAAAAAGCAAATGTACAATAAATGGTATCTAGCACGAATTACTAATAACATGTACAAAATATTTAACTCGATTTACGGTAATTATTTCTCTTAATATTTACCGAACCTATTGTGTAGATTAACCTTTGGACGGACTGAACTAATTTACCACATTGTTTTCTCTCAATTATTGTGCCATAATTAAATTGATTGTACATTTCTCACATATAAAATTATTTTTGGAACTTCAATTATATAATATTTGATGATTTTTCCTGGTTGTTTTGGATAACAGCTAACTAGATTAGTTTAATCGTTTGTACACGTTCTGGTAGGCTTTCTTAAATATCGTAATTATTGTATGATGTTTGTTTTTATTTTCGAGTAACGTAAAACTAACGAGAAAATTATAAATTTTCCAACTTCTTTTATTCATTTTTAAATAAAAAATCAAAGGCTTATTTTAATTCGAGAAAACAAATAAACAGATGATAAATTCGATTGCAAATAATGCTACTATTTTATGTACAATTGATGTTTATAATTAAAAAGATTAATGAAAAAAAGCACCATGGAACCGAGAGCTGTGCAAAGACAGTATATGCTCCTATCATAAATATATATTTTTTCAATGGGCACAATTATCAACATATACACGATAATAACATTTCTCGTACCGAATTTTTTAAAATCACGTGTATTTGATAGATCCTTAGATTTCCCGTTATACGCGACTTTCGCGAATATCAGCAAGAGCTCCAAAATTCCTAGTCTCCTCGTCGGAATAATTAGACTCGGTTTCTAATCTCTGGGATCTACCAATACTGTCGTCAGCGCTTCTGTTTCTGAGGTAATATTCCGTTGGATTAGATTCGTTGTTGTGATTGGTTTCATCTATTGTCTGAGCATTCTCAAATGTATGACTAGATTGATCTTCTAGCGTCCTCGACCTATCAATCTCATTCGCGATGGTACACCTGTTCTGCAAGGACTGACCATTAACACGATCCTCAGGCCGAGATTGGCGAACATAAATCGCTTCTGTCTCGTGATTATCTCTCTGCGAATTGTCCACGTTGTTTCTGCTCTCTTGGCTAATTCTCGACATGCTTCGAGCTATATTTCTCGTGTTCATTAATTCATTTCCCGTGGCTACGTTTCTAGATACCTCTTCGGTACCGTTCAGAAGCACTCTTTCGTTGTTTCGAATAATGTTATTAGGCGTACAATGATTTTCATTATTGGGCAATGGCTCAGCCTGTCGTTGACTGTCGTTTTCATTCGCTATGTGGAACGAAGTCTCGTCTTGGTAAGTTCTAAGGGCCTCGAAGTTAGCGTTACTGAACACTCGCGGTACCATCTCCTGTGTCATTCGATAAAGTTCTAGTTCGTTGTCTACGTAATAACTGTCGAGTGGATTACTGATGATGGATGGATTCCTCGAAATGTTTCTTCGTGGAAAACTCTGACTCGAGAAGTTCGTCACTGTCGTTGCGTAGGGATACGTTAACGCGTTCATGGGGTTGCCTAGTATGTGGGGACAACCGTCCAGGCTCTGCATTTCGATCTCTTCCTTGCCGTCGTGACAGTAATTGTGTATGTCTATTTCGTGGGGAAGATTGGCGAACCTGATGGGAAACATGAAATCGCTGAATAGTAAGTTTAATTTACCCAGTAAGATTAATGATTCGATAGCTACGATACGATATGTGTAACATTAAACTTAAAAGAAAGACAGAATTGTTGGTTCACGATAATAGAATTCATGTAGGTAATCAACCTGTGCAGTAAGATATCGGAATACGATGGCGGCATGTCTGACTCCTCCTTTCCGTAGATACTTTCGTACGTTGGAGGTGGAAAACAACCTATGGATCCTAGACTATCTTTGCTAGGCGTTTCTGCATCCATCTCGAGTATGCTACCCTGGCTGTTCTGAAGCTGATGCCGATTTATGCTGCGCGGGTTCCTTTGAGCGCGTAACATACTATCACCAAGTTCCACCAAGTCCAAACCTGGCCAAAAAATAAAACACGGCGCTGTGAGATTAATTGAATCTTCCAAGTGGAAGATTTCAAATTAACAGAATAATCTAATCGAATAATATTCCTCCTGTGTTGTAATGTCAGTACGCAAGATGTAAAACATGCGATATACCGCGCTACGGTCGGATCAAAATCGATCGACCGCTTAAGGTCATTTGCCTTGCTGTGAATCATGGCAGACACGACTCCCACTTATACGTTACGCCAGTTCCCCTCTTAGTATCGGAGATGGGCAAAGTTGTTATCTAAATAAAACTGTCGTGGAATAATTTAGATCGAACGAATAACAACGTGTGACTGTTCGAATCAATTAAATCATGCGTTTTCTCTGTGTATAATCTATTATTAGAACTTTGCCCATCTTTGCTTCGCACGTTTGTGCGAAAAGAGGAAGTCATAGGTGGCCTCGAGCGGCCAACTCGATTAGATCCGACTAACAATTCTATTCTAGGTCCTATAGTCTCTTTTATCGAACGCAAAGCTACCAAATGCTTCAAACAGTCTACGTTACAGAACTCAGAAGAGCATCTAGGAACCTATCTTTGGTGACCATTGTTTACTAAGCTATTATCCAGTTGCAATCTCACCAGTGGGATCTGTTTGGAACTGCGTGAAGATCGTACCATCCACAACAAGCATCCTACCGTGTGGCAAAAGTATAATCGTTGGCGTTGCTACCATCGCCTGATCGCTATTGCCGAATCGCGAGTCTGGTTCGGGATCCTCGAGGCGACAACAACAGTGTCGTCTACACAGAGACCTGCAGAAGGGCGCACCCCAGCAACAATAGGCGAAGATGAAGCAGAGCACGGCGAGCATCACCAGGAGAGCGGCTACCCCTTGGCCCTGTTGAGCGGCTGCGAGGGTTGGCCCACCGGCGACGCCGACACCGACGCCGACGCCGAATCCTAACCCACCGCTGCTACTCATCTCTTCTGAAACGTTTTACATCTGATCTATTCGACGGTTATGTCTCTCTGTCGCGTGAACGTCCTCTTCTTCACGCAACAAATGTATTCCAATCCGCAATGCGGAGCTAATAGCGATACCAACGTGCGCGTAGCTTGGCAATTATCCAGGCTCATGCGATGAATTTTGATAAATTTTATCTTGATTTCATTTAGTAACGTTACTAACTAATTGTAGGAATATTTGTACTCTGTGTCATTGTACTCTTGTTATTAATTAATATTGGAATTGCCAGGTCGATTAATGTGAAAGATGTATTTCAAACTTCTTTTAAAAGCTAGGTATTTACTGATTACTGATGTTTTGTGATCGTTAACGTTTCCTCTTGGTTTTCAGGTCGAAATAGCCTACTAAAGAAATAATTCTGTCATACAGTAAAAGCTACGCTTCGTTTTCGTACGAAAGTGAATGTAATTTTGGGTATTGGAACGCTCTCTCTTATGTTAATAAGATAAATGTCGTTCGTTCGAAGAAAAGGTAAAGTGAAAGTGGGAGAAGAGCGGGAATCTCGTCGCGTCATAAGCAACTTCGGTTGATCGTTTAATATTTCACGAAACGTCCGTTTCACGTATAAAATTAATAAATTCATTCATTCAGTGTTTCAAAAATAAACGCGGTAGATCGGTTGAATATTACGTCAGGCAGATCAATCAAAACATCGGGTCAATCTCCAAAAGAAAGATGCAACAAAATAACGTTGACCCCTGTTAAATATCTTCCAAGATCTTACTCGTGGATGTTCGTGATCGCTGAAAATATTTTTTTTTTCCATTTAATAACAAGAATTTATGAGTCAAAGCCGACAGAAGTTTTAGTTAAACAGATATTGGCTCTCTTTAAATATATATTTCGAATCGTCTTATTTTTCAAATATATTAAGTATTCGATTTACCTGGGGTGGTAATATTGTACAGCCAAGTGGTCCCCGTGGTGGACGTCGCTTCCGTTATCCTGCGCGACCCGTAAACCATGAAAAATATTTTCCTGCGCCTCTCGAACGGTTACTCGTATTATCCTCGGCAATTTCCAAACGCAACGTAATCACATTGTCAATCGTTGCACGCAACCCGTTGCATCGTGCAATTCCGTTCAAGTTTTATAATGGAACTAACAACGAGGAAGCGTAATCGAATTAAAAATTGTGCTCGCGTCAATCATCGTCGATACTCATTTCCGTTTCAACGGTTTTATTCTACCCTCCCCCCAAAGAGAAACAATTAAAAATTCCGTTTGTTCCGTGCACGTTACTCTCCCGTGATTAATCGAAACAACGAGTCTCGAGTCCGTCGCATGAACAATGACATTCCGAAGAAGCGAATAATCTCGTCGAAAAACAATGGTGTTTACTGTGATTTTAATGATTCTTGTGACAAGTTCACAGGAGGATCTCTTCATTAAGACATCGAGCGTGAAGTCGAACAACGGACACTGTCATCGTAGAGATACTCTTGACCCATTTCAATATCTCCCCACTTTACATCAACCTGCTGCTTTTCGCCTTCGATATCTCTATTTCGCAATCGGGAGACCTCGTCCGTTGGTTCGATATTTCTTTTTCTATCCCTTCAGTGAGCTACTGAGCTCCCATCTCACGTCGAAGCTAGGCTTCTCTTTGTTTCTAATATCAATTTTATCGTGTTTCTTTTTTTTTTTTACGTTCTTCGTATCATCTCGAATCCTCAAGTTACATAAACGTTATTTTTATTTTGTCAACTATAGCAACAAAATTGAATTAATCTTATCGAAATTCGATTATTGGTATCGACTGTCATCAGTCGCAGTGTGACGTTGATAATCGCTTAATCGCGCGTCGTAAATAGTTCTCTTCTATCCAATGTCTCAATTGCTGCTAGATATATTTCCGTAAAGTAATTTACAATGTTTTACGTTGCAACAGTGACGACTTTTCAACGGTAACGTTTTCCACGTTTTTTTTTTCTACAATTCCACATATATCGTTCGTCTCTTAAATCGAATCACTAACATCCCCTTCGTTTCGTGACTGTGACGTCACGGACTGCAGATGAAGCCGCGCCATATTATTTACTATCGATGCATTGTGCATTCACGCGATACGTCTTCGAATTATTTTCTTCTTCCAAGACATTGGATTCCTGTGTAATATTCAGGCACGTTACTGTCATTTTATAGAGAATTCATTTGGCGCTGATCGGAGCGGTAAAACGGTAGTCGATAATTTTTTTTTCAGATTTGAGATCGATTAATCACAATATCGAAACTGCCACTTTCTCAACTTAACACATTAGAACGATACATTATGTTACGATTAGACACGCATTACCGTCGAACACAGGTACGAAATCACATTGATACATGTGGCAATGTATATTTAGGCCGAGGGGTGGGTTTCACGTTCGTCACGTTTAATCTACTGTATCTTGATAGGTCCACGATTTACAAATATTGATTTGCAAGCAGCTCATTGATAATATTAACCTTAATTCTTTGTATTTTTTTTTTTTTTTTTTTTTTAAATAATCGTCACAAAAAAATCTTGTTAGTTTTTCGTTGTACGCTGGTATCTATGTAGGTTACCAGGAGATCGCGAGGGTTGTGTCGAATGTGCTACTACCCTCGAAATTCTCCGCACCTTGTGGGACGCAGCAACCTCTTCACGGCCCCTCGAGACACTGGGCAACGATTCGTCGGTAGTCTCCTCAGTGGCGCTTGTTTTATTTTCCCACCCCTGTGCATAGAATGGAATCCGCTGTCACCGCACTTCTTCTACCCCTTCTTCGCCATCCCTCGTGATTTTAGCAGTTTCAATATTTCTCCTCTAAATTTCTTTAAAATTGGTTTAACGCGCTTTATTCGAGGAACGTCTCGGAATTTTATTTACAAATACAGGCACGAGAAAGTATTTCACTTATATTTAATAAGCTCGCGTTATAAATACGTAATCGAGTTATATAAATGTATGATTCAGCAATAGACGAGAAGAATACAACCAGACAAATTTATTTGGTCAGCTAAAATATTTACAGGCTAAAATATTTACAGTAACATTATATAATATATAAAAGTATAAGTTTATGTCTCTGGTAAAATTGATAACTCATTCTTTTAAGGTTTCTATCTCGGACCTACATGAAGTAATAATGTAAATTTGGCACTGATTAGAAGTTCCTTTAGATTGCGATAAGACTGTCGTCCCCATTCCAATGGTACTGAATCATCGTCAAAACCATGAAATTGCAAACGAGGTGGTGATGTTCCTGGTTCTTCTTTTAAAACCTGCGATAAGAATCGTATTACTAACAAGAAAAAATGAACATAAAGGAAAGCTTGTCTTGTATGTACCTTGTATAACGGTTTCTATGCAAATTGATTAAATAAAATGCAAGCAACAAGAAAAACGAAATTCGTAATTAGCGCTAACCAAGTTCAAATCGAACCGCCAACTACAGAGAGTCATGCACACACGCAAAACAACGAGCAAACGAATTTCTGCTCTGCCATCTAGGGGTGATGGTGGAAATTAATTTGTCCCTAACATAGATCGCGGAACGCAACAATCCATTGATGTAATAGTTTTGTTTAGTTTGTTTGGAGCAGAGATGGCCAAAACCCTAGACTTCGAATAAATCTGAAGTTTGCCGATGTGTTTGTCTCGTTTCTTCCTCTGGGAAATGTTCGAAAGAGGAAAGGAGATAGACATATCAGCAAACTTCAGATTTATTCGAAGCCTAGGGTTTTGCTCATCACTGTTTTGGAGTACATGCTGCACGATGACCAACATTTCCCACTTGCAGTTCCCAACCGAACACAGCCAAATGTTCCTATTTCGTCAAGGTGGTTCTCACGTATCAAGCGCGCATATCTGTTTTTTTTTTTCAAATTATAATTCTCAACTGCTGGTATCGTTAAAAGAAACCTACAATGTTCGAAAAACTGTACACGAAATTGTATACGATCTACTTTCAATTTTAAATTACCAGGATGAAAGTTCAGATGCAAGGTTCGTTTTGTTAAATTTAATTCGCTTTACAACTTCGTTAATTAATTACGCCAGTTAGAACTGTACAATAGTGATATTTAAAGGGCAAAACAGTTCGCGATCCTTGCGATCGCGAATTTGAACCATTTCGTGCAAAGATGCTCGCCCTTACAGTCCATTGTTCATGGAAAGTCATTTAGCTGCGAAACGTTTCGTCGAACGATTGTCATAACCGCATTTCTGCGCACGCATATCTCGATTTCCATTCGAGTCCCTTCGAGATCGTTTGAAAACGCATGCCAGAGAGACTGTCCGACTGAGTTAAGGTACGAGTGCACGGGTGTGTGATAGGCTATCGGTGTCGCGTCGATGGGTACGTCGGTGGTTGTTCGCTAAAACATCATCTCACGTTGTACGGCCAGGAGAGTTATGTTTAATGAGTTGTTGTAACAATTCGTTGGAACGATGCAGAGAAGTGGTGAGTAATGGAAAGTTTAATTCAATATGGGGGAAAACATGAGAATTCGTTGGGTCGCACGGACGACCATTTTGAGGGCGCCAAATTTTTGCGTCAATACACAGCGCCGTGACTGCCCGGTCAATACGGCAGCCGACCTAACCTACCAACTATTTGGTAAAACGACTTCAACTGCTTTAATTTAGCCACTTACACCACGTTACTGCTTTTTTTTCTTCTGTTTACGACAGATTTATAGATCCTTGAAATTTAAATTCGTTCGAGGCCCCGTTTCGTGCGTTGCGTTATTGGGTATCATTCCTCGATCTTTTTTCCATCGTATACAATGTGTGTTTTTTTTTATGCGAAACTTGCCGACGGTCAATGTTACGAAAACATTGGATGAAATTTATGCTGTTGCAATGGTACGATGACACGTGAATTATCATTGTACATTATGAATAAGGGATTTCCAGTTGCCATAGATCGTAATTTTACTTGCTTTTCTATTGTAGAATATTCGAAATGCAATGTTTACAGCGCAATTAGGTGTTGCCTCCTCCTTCTTATCATAGGCACTTAATCGGCGTAGACGAGTAATCTAAATAACGCGCTGTAGATTGCTAGCTCTAATTAAACAAAAGAGAAGTCAAAACAAACCATTTTCAACGGACAATCTCCGTTGTCTTTCTGTTTATTTAAAATATACAATATACAAAATATACATAACAGTTATGACGATGGACTGGTACAGTATCGAATTGAAATATCACCGTGCAGTATTATTCAATTTCAGAAATTTACACGAATTCAGAAAACTAAACGAATGCATTGCGTTAGTAACTATAATAATTTTAAAATTATTTAAAATTATTAGTTTTAATATTGTTGCGGTGAATTTTACGTTGTACGTTTTGTTAGTCACGTTGCATGACGCTCTCGACTAGCTCGTTTTCTTTGGTGCATGTAACATTAAACTATTATTCTACACGGGTCGGTGAAATCATATCTGTCGCATGTATACCGGACTTAGAAGTAACGCAATAATATGGCATCATGACTGACCGTCTTTTTGCTTTCTTTTCAAAAAAAGCACTCGTTCGTTTCTTAGCGAAAGAAAGTTACCACTAGATCGCGAATTTTAACGGTATAAAAGTGTAACAGGTTCGAAAACATTTTCTTTCGATATAAATGGACATTTCTGTACTTGGATTAGTCAGACTCGACCATATAAATATTAACGAGAATGGAGGAATTTTAATCGGTTCTGTCGTTTGTTTGCGATACATTCCAAACATGGTTTATTGTACATTCATTTGACCTCGGAGCTTCGAATGAATAGCGATCTGTATTCAAGAACATCTCGATTTGGCATCCCTTTGTATCGATCAGAATCAGATATTTCTTCTGTATAAACTCCATATATCTACTTTGATAGAAGCTTTTCGAACCTGAAAAATTCAACCTCGCATCAGTCGAAATCCTACAGTGAGCGTGGAATGTATTCGTACACCGATCAATTTTCCAAAAAAACTTTTCTGTGAAATTGCAGTTTCTTAACTTCTTTTTTTATAATCAATGATATTTTACGTATTCTCGGAAGTCTCCACGATAGGTATAGTCCAAACAATGCGAAAGGTGGATGAAAGTATAGAAGCAATAAGTATTTGTACGTTTGTGCATTTTTTGATTGTTTATAAAAAGTAAGTTAATAAATTACAATTTTACATAGTTCTTTTTGGAAATATATCCGTGTACGAATAATCTCTAGAAACCCTCGAGTACAAAATCTCTACTTCTGGAATTCGATTCCCCCGCCACCTATCGATATTTTGTACCAAGAGTTCGTTTAACGTCTCCCTTCGCTATCGACGAAAATCGTGCAAAGAGTCGTCGAGCAATTGTAATCGCGATGCGCGTTGCGTACGATTGTGATAGTTCGACGCCTGATTGACGAGCAAGTGTCACGACACCTCAGAGGCCGCGTTGCTCTGACCGTAAAATAGAAAGAAGGGAAGAAAGAAAGAGGGAGGCAGCAAGCCAGTACGTTTAACATTATAATTGTCTCGCGCTGAGAACAGTCGAGCACTTCGTCGGCACGTGAAACACGCGGAGAGACTCGAGAAGCCCGATCGCGAACCGCGGAGAGCCTCGTCAAGATTTTAGTACACTTTCTGTATTCGATCTGTAAACACGCTAAGTGGATATCGACCGATCCGTTCCGCGCGTCGAATAACTCGTCGTTTTTCGCCGTTTACCGACGGTGATACCTTCATACGCCGATATAATCACGTGTGTAAAGTGTTACCGGGACATTGCTTTTTAATCGAATCGCGCCTTGTCGAAATCAACATGTTCCGTCGGCTTTGAAATCCATATGCGTAAGAGTATGTTGCTTCGTTGAGGGAGAAGTAAATTAAAAAGTAAAGAAAGTCTCGTTTTGGGTATACGGTTCGCCAAGATAAAAGACATTCGTGCGTTTTTGTTGTCTTTCTCGAACAAAGGGCGCGCTGAAAGGCAAAGTAAACAGACGAACGCGTCGTTTATCCGCTGATAGTGATCTCTGGAAGGAATCTTTATCAACCTTATCGGCTCCCTGCCGGACTCGTGTGGACACAGGTCGTGAGATTTCCAACTGTTCTCGTTCCACGTGAATGTTCGTATAAACGTCTGGGCGATCGTTGCCTCATTCGTAATCCAATTTCGAGTTTTTCTTCGCTTTTGTAGCGCTGCGAAACCTTAGCAGTTGTTAATTGTATCACGGTTATCTTGGTCAATCCAACTACACGTTAACAAGCGTCCAGCATCGGAGCTCAGTAACCTACCGTGGTCCTAGATCGAGCGAGGCTCGATAAAGAGACACTGGAATCAGAATATCGTTCGACTTTCTTTTTATTTATTTTTTTATTTTATGTATTAGACAAAGAAATTAATTCTGCGCATATCGCGGCGCACACTTGTAATCTGTTACTCAAGCTAGAGTTACGAATGATTGAATACGAAGGCAGAAAATTAATTTCTATACCCAATAAGATCGAGCACTGGATTTTTTCTCGTCGATTATTCAGTGACTTCAGATTTTCAGATTTCAGTGCATTCTCGTCGAGCCTTACTCAATCTACGTCTGCGATGGTTTAATAGCATTTGATTGCTAGGCTCGTTCAATCGTCCCCGACGAATCCAGCGATTCCTGAGATCCGACCGCGAACTTTTCGTGGTTCTCTACTTTTTGGGGTATCTATTTTCGGTTCACGTCGGCTCTTCGCTCGGTGTTCCCGTGATTTCAGCGTGCGTACGCCCAAAGAAAAAGTTCGATTGCGGCGATAAAAGGGAATCGTTCCTGATGATCGAAATGGAAACCTCCACCGTGGTGTTCATCCCCCAGAATGCACGTAAGCGTCTTACTCTGGCTTCCTTAATTACTCGACGATCGTAGTACATTTTTCATTCGATAGAACCTTACCGGTCATTCTCATCTCGTCTTAATTGTTAGTGAATTTTTTATTGTTTAACGAATATTCTTTAAACGGAAATAGATAGAGGTCAAAATAATTAGGAAATCACCAAACTTCGGCGACTATCGATCTGCGAATTTCTACTTATGATAACGATAACAACGTGGACTTTATCACGCTGCAGCTGATACGGCTGAAGTATTGAATGAGCAGAAAAGTGAAAGGGAGATAACACGGATATAAACTTTAGCTGTAAAACTTAATCCTACGGTACTTCGTATAAGTTCATGCGATCTCTTAATAGTTCTAGATGGCATACAACTTACAAATTGGGCGATACCATGAGAAGCGAGAATGTGCAAATTTAACCCTCTGCGCTATGAGGTCACTTTTAACGAGATCTCTAATCGGGAATGTTTGGCGTGATAAGTTTTATGTGCACTTCGATACAAGAAGTCACTCTTACCTTTTTTTTAGGTATACTAAAAGGTTCTTTCTGAACAATCTCGCGAAACCCAAATCCCGAGGAAGCAATTATAGTGCAAAGGGTTAAACTCATGGAGATAAATTTTCATCGTAAGATGAACTAACTTAAGATTAAGACCAACTTCGACGTTATGCAGATATCATGTATTTAGATATCCTGTATTCTTTCTGAGCAATCTCACGAAACCCAAATCCCGAGGAAGCAATTATAGTGCAAAGGGTTAAACTCATGGAGATAAATTTTCATCGTAAGATGAACTAACTTAAGATTAAGACCAACTTCGACGTCAACTATGGATTAACTTAAAACGCTCCTTTTTTTCATTCCTCCCCCCCCCCCCTTTCCCGTGCATCGATGGCCCCTTCCTCATCCCTGTTCCTTTTATCGTGTCCCTTCTCTCTCCTTTTCCTCGTTCTGTTTCCGGTTTCGCGCGGATGTTGGACGACCGCATACTCTGTTACGATAAACGCTTGTACGATGACGACGATGACCACGGCGACGATGACAACGTCACATCCCCAACGGTCACTTCGGGCATCACGGCAGCGGTAAGTTTCTGATAAGGCTAGTTACATTCCGATCGTCGAGCGACACGCGTGGAAGCGCGAATCGTGTTCGTCATACTAAAATCACGGATGTGCCGTCGACGCTCGGCTACATATACGGATCGCGCCTTCCACGGGGAACCGAATTCGTTTTCATCGTCGTTACCGTTTCGCGATCGTGCTAGACGTTCGCTCGACGATAGAACTTTGCTCCATCTTTCGATGGGCGTTTACCGGGACGCGAAATTGGTAACTAGGTGTAGAAATTAACTCTGTGGCTCTGTATATTAATTGTAATCATTTATAATCATATAATCATTTGTAACTCCGGTTTAAATATATATATATATATTTACTCGTCATTTCGGTATATTCAAGTACCAATTTTCTAAGCTTTCCACATAATCTAAGTCTCAACCTGATGACCATTACTACATATGTATCTATACGAACTGTGGTAGCCATGAAATTTTGCTTATTTGTTACTCTTCTGGAGTTATTGTAATTATTAGATACATTTCTAATCAACAATAAGCGAAATTGTATGATTACCTGGAAGATTGGTAATTCAACTTGCAGTAACAAAATGACAATTAAATATCTCCACTTAGAGTTGTAAATGATACAATCGAAAAGCCCAGAAATAATTTCCACACCTAATATATCCTTCGATTTTTAGCTTTAATCTAATTCTCCCTATCTCACCTAACAACGTGTTTAATCCGTTAATACATGATTCATTTCGCGCCGACGAGGAATCACTGATTGCGAGCGATCGTCAAAGAACGCAAGGTGTATCCGTTCGAATCAAAGTGACGGAAAGGTGACACGGTCCGTGTAGAAGAGCCGCGATAACTATTATCGCACGCGGAGGAATCCTCCGCGCGATAAAGGTTTGGCGTAGCCCAGTCGTGGCCGCGAGTGTTTCAAGCGGAATCGCGGTGAAAGCAGAGAACCAGTCCGGAGTCTAATTGTTCCAAGGAGACTTCGGTTTTGGAGTTGCTTACGGGGCGTTCTGGTTTGCCCGTTCAACGTACTTCCAATTAAGCCGATTAAACGACGAAAGTGAAGGCGCACTCGTCCGTATATTTGCACTTGTCGATCCGCGATTACGATCCTTGTACGCTTATCACCCTCGCGGTACGCTGAAATGTGATGTCGTTTCCACCGTTGGGCAATAATAAAACAGACAGGAGCGGTAGGATCGTTAATATGACATCGCCAATGATGGAGGCGAGGCGTCGTCTCAGCAAGGTGTTAATGTCCAAATTCTCTGACCAACGGACTGAATACAATAAAAAGGTAGTTATGTCACTAGAATTATTTGCTTGGAACGTTTCAGTAACATATCGTCGATCGATCGGTGGAGAGAGATCTCTTCGCGCCTCCCTCTTCTATGCATTTACAAACGTAGGTACATGGGAAGGGTGTTTATACTTTTGTATTATTAATTCTGTTCCTTTCTAAGGATCTTCAAACTTAGTGGTTAATTTATACAAAAAAATTGTACAATTTTTTATTCTTTCTCGGGCACACATTCCAAGAGAACACATATATTAGGTTGTCCAAAAAGTTTCTTTCGCTTTATTAATAAGTAATACATGCACGATAGTTTATGTTTTCTGTTACATTAGTGAATTGTGCACGATTCATTTTGCTCCGTTACTGTTACGACATGAATATCTATGAAATTAGATTGTCTATTTATGTAAACACGACCACATAAAATAATTGAGTGCAACTCGCGAAAGAACTTTCGGGACAAGCTAATAATTATAAATAATTATGTAAAGGCACATTTCCCCACCTGATACGTTACACCTGGATAAGTGGGAAACCTCTATCACAGAGTTAGGTCTGGGTTAGGTTACTATTCTGACACTATCGATTCTTTATCATCATTCAGATACGATGAATGCAAAGCTCGGTGTACTATAGCCAAGGTCTCAGCGTTCTTATCTGTGCACACGTTTGCAAAACTATTTTTTCTCTCGCGCGAGTCACGCTACACGAATGTTGATTCAATTAAACGGTGAAGGATGAAAGTGGGTTAATGTAGTGCTTCGGTGCATTCATCGATTTAACATGAAAAGAGAAAACCGTCTGGAAACGTGTCGGTATCTTGAGAAGCGCTTGTTCTGTTAAAGAATTCATCTCGATTGTCCTGTAAGAACAGTGATTCTCGCAAGGTTGATGCTAGCTTGTTCAACACCCCCTGCGTACTATAGATTAGGCTCCTTAGCACAATAATTCCTTTTACGTTTTCATTTCTTTCGCAAGCATTAATTATATTGGAATTTTCTTCTAAAAAAAAAAAAAAAAAAAAAACGAAAACCCTCATTTATTATAAATATATATTACAAATTTTTTTTTCGAATTTAGGGATGCCTCTAATGCCCTCCTACTATAATTACCTTGTTAACCATTTGAGGGATGTTGACAATACTTTTACAAAACATTCGAGAATGAAAAAATATATAATATTAAAGCAAGACAGCAAAGTATGTCAGAATCGATTTGCAGGTGAGACTTGCTTTGATTTGCGTACATTAAATCAAAACGAACAAAATCCATTTAAAATTAGTCCCCCAAGAAGTTAATGTGACCCTGGAGTCAAAGATCTAACGCAGCTTAATTTTTTATGGTGTCAATGATCGCCTCGACTTAACCCGACTGTCATGCTTGGTATTCTAACGCGACACTAGGAAGTACGCGGCAGAATGCTTGGAGTATGATTGTGACCTTAATTGGACTACGAGCTAATAAGAGCATCGAACTATTAAGCTACGTATATCGTCGTATTTGCGAAACGCCACCTACATTCGCGCGCGTACTATCCCTTCTTCGATCTTCCGCGATCTTCCCCCTTGGAAACCTTCTTTTTATCATGCAAACCCCAGTATCTTGTTTATCAACAATATTTTATCGACAGAAAAAGATCTAACTGGAAAGTCTGTGCTGTCTCTAATTGCAGTGCACACTTCGCACTTGCTTTTTACTCTTGTTAACGATCGAGCGAGAAAAATCTCCAGACGCCTTCAGCGCCACCATGTGTAAGATTTCTACAGTTACATACTCTGCAAAAACGGTCGGTAAATGAAAGCAATGTTGGTTTACGCTTATTTAATTATGCATGAATATATATTCGACGATATTACTTCTCAATAGAACTTTCTTCTATATACTCATTTGCACCCATACTAAAGTATCAGGCTTTGTAACCCAATCTATCCTGAAAAAAAAAAAAATGATAACAATGTTAATCCAAATTGAAGAAAACTTGCGTGTAGCATTTGACGTATTTTCTTTTAGTGTACCTGAAAACGAGTTTCTAAGATTCGAATGAGTCGATTCTTGAAGACACTGAATCGAATCGTAAGCGAGAACAATACAGGGTGTCCCAACAATGTTGTAACACCTTGAAAGGGGTGGTTCGGGAGGTGATTTGAAGTAACTTTTTCCTTAGTGAAAATGTTGTCCGAGGCTTCGTTGAGGAGATATTAACGAAAAACCCCGACCAATCAGAGCGCGCGTATACCGTTGGAGCGCTCGCGGTAGCGTATGACCGCGGCTGCCTATGGCGTAGCCTACGCTTAACCGGCATACTCGCGCTCTGATTGGTCGGGATTTTCGCTTAATATCTTCTTAACGAAGCTTCGGACAACATTTTTGCTAAGGAAAAAGTTACTTCAAATCACCTCCCGAACCACCCCTTTCAAGGTGTTACAACATTTTTGGGACACCCTGTATGTGCCTGTATGTTCGCTCATCTGCCAGGATGCCCGTGGCACCGATCGCGATTGGTCGGCGTTGTTCCGCGGAGCGCATGCGCAGTGAAGATAGGCAGCCGCGTTGGTTACCCGGTGAGCACGGTCCTGTAGTGAATTTACCCCCACTCCTGGCGGTGGCTGCGTCAGGCGTGGTCGTTGGTTCGGCGCCGCAGTATATCCGAGTCGGGCGCGTCGTGTGTATGGTTCTTGTTTCTGGGCTGTCAACCTTTGTTGGCCCAAGCCGTGTGCGTATACGCGTGCGCGCGTGAGTGTGTAGTGTGCGTGTTTGGCAAAGGTCGTTTAACTTTTACCCCCTTCGCTGTTTTTCTTTCGCCTGGCGATCGGTGGAACGAGGAATAACGTTGTTTTGTTTTCGTATCAAAGAGAGTTGGTCGACTATGAAACAATGTACAGAAAAGTGAGAGTGAACGTGGCCACGTTCGGCCGGTTCGCCGACAGCGTGAATCACCAGCAGCACCGGCGTTCATGAGCCCACGCAGTGCTACCGATGCACGATTTCTCTCTTTATCTTACCCTCTAGTGCTCGTTTTCGTATTCTCTCTATCTGACGTTGTACGCATCCCTCTTTTGCACGGGGAGTGCTGTTGTAACACGCGTACGCGAATCTTTCCTGCGAGCCTGACAGATCTAGCGCGTAAAGCTTATAGTGAGTACACCGTTGTTTTCTTCCAAGTAATGAACCCCCTTCGGCGGTACGTGCATGTGCGTCTACATCGTCGAATTGGGCATTCGTTCGGTAACGATGTACGCGACGTTCTATGACCGTGATACGGTTTCTGTTGATTCTGTATAACGAAGGCGTTTCCAAGGCCAAACCATAGCTTTCGTATAGTATGTAAAGTACGATATTGTCGTTCAGAGGTAGCTTTCACTCCAAACCTCTTGTTTTCGTACGGCTTTTTCTGCTCGCGGATCCATTGTATAGATCTTTGTTGAGCTGTAGCATTGCCCCTTCGTGGGAAAATATTTTCCTAAGGAAGCGCGAACTTGCCAAATACTTTTCTGTTTTGTTTGTCTCTATTGGTAATACTTCGTACAGAACGATTACTGATCACGCAAAGAGCGAGGAATTTCATCCTTTGTTATTTTTCCGAGACGGTACGAGTTAGTTTCACCGTCTAAGACGAGAGTCGTACGTTAACGATATTCGGGGAACGCGTCGAGCAACAGTCGCTCGGATCACAGAAACCGATATCAAGTCAGAGTCGTAACAGCATGACATATTTTCGTCTGTTACGGCGAAAGAATACGTTTTATGGCAGACACGCCCGTTTTTTTCTCTTACATTGGCTCCCTTGTGTGTCTTCAATTGAAAATACATCTTCACACGCGTAATTCGAGCTCGTCCATAACTCACGATCTCTTCGTAGGTGAAACAAAAGAACTCTGAAAAAATGACTTAGGACCCCCATTATCAATTTGCTCGGCGGTAGAAAACATCGATATAAAAGCTGTGCCAGTATAAGATTACCGAGAGATAAAGACAGTGGATCTCATCGTGTCGATCAGTAACCACTCGTAGATATGTCGACCGAAAATCAAAACGGTTCCGCCGGCACTCAGAGCAACGGCATCAAGACTTCGATCAACGTGTCGTCGTCCGCGCGGTCCGCGTCGAACAATTCGTCGTTCTTGTACAGCAGCAATTCGATGCTGAATCGCGATAAACCGCGTCAAGTGCCGCCACCGACGTTGCCAAAATACACGGCCAGCTTCAACGCTGGTTCCAATGGCAGCGGCACGACCGAACGATTGAACAGAGACCGTGAAGTCGGTGGTAGTTACAGGCTGGCGAGCCTCGACAGGCTTGCCCTCAGGCAGAGGATACTAGACGGGGAAAAGGCGAACGGCGACACCGCGTCGGTAAGCCCAAGAATCTTTTCTTTTTTGGACCTGTTATTATTTTCTCTTTTTTATGCTATCTACAGTGGGCGTAGAAAGTATTCGTACATCGATCAATTTCCAAAAAAAAAAAAAACTATGTAAAATTGTAATTTATTAACTTATTTTTTTATAAACATTGACATTCTACATATTCTCGGAAATCTCTAGAGTAGATGGATTGCGAAAAAGATAGCTATTTATGTAAGTTGCGAAGTTAACGAGAAAAAAAAAACAATTAATCGATAGAAATGTTGAAGCAATAAGTATTCGCACGACTGTTTAATTTTTCAACACTCGATTAAAAAAAAAAAAAAAAGAAGAAGAAATTTATATTAATTTATAAGTATATAATACTTCCTTCGTGGAATCGAACACGATAATGATTATTACTATGCGATTAAGTAATAAGAGAAATTTGCATAATAATTCACAGAATTTCGTATATACTCGCGCCAATTAAAACACAATTATTACGGATTCCGTGTGTAGTATTTGCAGAGGAAGGAGGTACATTCAATTTCCGTTGCACTGCTTTGACGTTTAATAAACCTGATTAAATCAAACAAACGTTGTAAGCTTGAAATCCCGTATCGATCAATTTCTAACGTGCTTTAACGCCTCGGGTCGTGGAACTTTAACTTCGGATATCACGAAAAAGCTTTCCCGTAAGTCTGAAATCGATAAGTCCAAAAAGAAAAAAAGAAAAAAAAAAACACCACGAAGAAATGCTCGTCGATAACGAAGAGATTAATTGCACTTAAGGTACTTTTTCGTTCGCCTGTCGATTCTGGAGTATGTTGTATCGAAACCGTGTTCAGATATCGAGTTCCTTTTTTTTTTTTTACCGTTTTCAAGACATAGCAGAGTTTCCATTTATGTCTCTCACTTTTACCACGGGAGGTAAATGGCGAAGTCCCATTCCGAGTGACTCAGAATTTCTTGTACGTTTCTTTCGCAATTCCCAAGACGTCGAACGTGCGCGTTCTCGTATCAAGTTTTGTTAACGCGTACAACGAGAATCGTACACGTTGTTTTTTTATCGATCCGTAATTTCCGCCTTTTTCGAATATAACCGTCTTCACGACGAGTTTTCCAACGTGGATTCAGTATAACGCGAGGTCACGACTTCCCGTGGCAGTCGTTACAGCTTTCGGTATATGGGGGATACTGTCACGTACCCCGTGACTCGGTAACTCAATCCCGTTTCTCAAAGAATCAAATTTTATACCTCTGATACACCGGAGCTCGGTCGTCTTGCCACTCGAGGACCCCGCATAAAGGACCCACGTGATCGTACCGTTTATTCTCTTCTCGTGGCTTCGTGAGAGAACTGGCTATGACTCATGGAGCCCGGCCGTGCAACGTCTCGACGACGATGCAGAAAAACAACAAATTACCGTTCCGATCGGGACGCCACGAATGCAGTCCAGTTGTTGTCATGAAACTTATGGCGTGCATACCACCAGAGTCGCACTCGTAACAATTTCTATGCGAGTAAAGCTCTTTGGGGAGCATCGGGAACTGCACGATATTCGTGGCTTATTTTATTTTTATACAGATCCATTTGCTTTAATCCCTACTGCCACAATTTCTAACATCTTTTTCTTTCAAAGATACGTGATCCACCAACGATCCTATTTCAAGGAAATCGTGTTTAAAGTTCAAAGTGCGCTGCCGTTTGTATTTTCACAAAAAGTTCAAACATTACCGGATTCCAGGAGTCGTATAACAAAGTGCCAGGTTCTTCTAGAATTCATCGAATACTCGGATTTCAAAAGCTACTTTTCAAGTTCCTTTTAAAAAATACGTTTCTCCGTTGTTCGAACGATTTTTCGTATTTATCTTCGTAATTATCTTCGTATCGCCAGAGCAATTATGCGTCACAGTTGAGTCAGAGATTGATGAGAATGTCTGAACACGTGGCAAGTTTGCTCCGTGGTTTCTCTGTTGCACTGTCGTGGGTAAATGTACGCGACAGAGAATAAAGAGTGAGAGATTTGCCAGTAGGTTGCACGAGGGAGTGTGGAGTAACAACATTGCGAGGGTGGAACATATGCTGGAGTTCTTATCTCCATTTTCATGGGCTTTCGCCAGAGAGACTTAGCTTTTAATTCCTCTTGCCGGCACTTTCGCGTCAAGCATGTGCTTTCAATTCTTCAAACCACGCCCCGCATCGCCGTGTTATTTTTACCTCCCTTTAACGAGCGAATTCCCGGCAACTTATCGGTTACGTTAATTCATTGGTTACACCCAGACACTTGCGGTCAGATATTTGTTACGTGTATTATTTAAGGGACGGCTCCAAAAATTTTACTCTTTTATATATATATATATAAATATAAAAGAGTAAATTTATATATATATATATATACAGGGTGTTTCGTTTAAATTGGGATGGTTAAATATCTCGCGAGGGAACGAAGCTATCAAAACGGATGTTTTGACGAGAATTATTTGGTTCAAAGGGACAAATTATAGGGAGCAATTGATTTTGTTGTTAAATGGATCATTATATATTTTTATCCGTAACATGTAGCGTTTCTTTACGAAATTGATGTATTTAAAGTTTGAATGTTAAACACAAGATCGTTTACTGTAACGTACATCCAGAGTGTTCTGCAGCAGTGGAAAATTTGAGAATCACTGTGAGAGGGCTCATGGCCACCCCTCGTACATATATTTTCGTCAAAGGAGGGCCTAGGATCTTGTAACCACGGGGGCGGCTTGGTCGAGGGTCCCACCCTCGTGCGTCATAGACAATAGGAAAATAGACTGCAATTCGTGACTCACGGGACCGTAGAATGAGATACAATTTTGGCAGTCTAAATGGAACACGTGTCGCTTATTATTCATCGTCGAATTAAACATGTTCGATTCAAAATTTTCCAATTGCCTTGAAATGAAATTTGAACCCAGTAGTGTATTTCAAGGACATTAGGCTAGAACTTGTTAACTCGCACGAAAACATTCCCAGGGATAGAGCTCGATCTCGGCTCGAATCGCGTCTTGAAATATTCTGGTTTCGAGTTAAAAAAAAAAAAAATGGTTAGGAATTATCGGCCCCTGCGACTCTCTTTCTCTTTTACCGTAACGGAGCACGTACCGATGATGAAACGGCGAATATAAGTTCCAAGAAAGGCAGAGGGAGAGAGAGTATGGCTGTGTTCGATAAAACGGAAATTTATGACTTCCGCGAGCACCGCCGACCTCAAATGAGATCATTGTTCTGTCTTCGATAAGTGCGTCCCATTAAACGATTTCGAGCGTCCCTTTTTCTTGCTTAAATTGGTCAATGGGCTCCAACAAGTTCTCTGATGCATTCCATTATCATCTATAATCGTTCAATTTTTAGAATTTTATAGCAACCGTTAAGTCTTTGACTCCTCCACTAAATTTCTCCAATTTCATCTCCTCTTCGAAACAGTTATTAATTACAGATTGAAATACGTACCTCGTTAAAATCTCTCGCGGTAATAGCGTACTTCGTGTTTATAACGGGCATCTAACAATTCCCAGACGGTCAAAAATAATTACGACGCCCGAAGGAGTTAGGGTCCGACGAGAGTCGAGACGGTCGCCACTCGACTTGCTTCTTTTTTTCTTGGAAATCTCGAGTTTAGGTTTCGTTAAAAACAAGAAAACACGAGGACGAACCTCTGGGATAAATACATCGAGACGACCCTGGTAAGATTCCGTGGTACACGAAGGGGAAACCCCACCATCTGCCCATCCGACACACAAAGTACCCTTTCAGAAAAGCAGGCCGCGTCCCAGTTTTTCACCCCGTGTTTCTTCCCTAAACAACGTTCGCGTTCCTCGTCTCGTGGTATTTTTCAACCCTTAGCGTGGGATACGCACGCCTATTTGCATCGCGCGTTTCCAGCATCACCGGCCTGAAATATCCAAGTAAATGCCTTACAAGTTCCCTGCAGAAAAACAAAATTCGTCCCATAGAGGGATGCTCATAAACAGTGATTTGCAAAAAATTGTTGGTAGACATCGGTACTTTCTTTTGCCTCGTAGCATCATCTCCGGTTCCCTCAATATTATTCTACGAAGTAGTACCGCCACAAAGTCACCAAAGGATCGCGTGTCTCTCAGGTGTTTCTCACCTTTTTCCCAAAAGAAAATACTTGCACAAAGACCAGTCGAACGTAAATGTACTTTTATCCACCGGATAACGAAAACGTCGCATTCCTGTGAACCGCGAGTTTCAGAGGAACGCATTAAATCGGAGGGTTATCGTTTCGAAGCGATTTCTACGAAACTGTTACGGATCGCTTCTAAGCCGTTGATGGAGCCGATCGTTCCGTAATGTGTCGGACTGGTTGATATTAGGAATTAACGAGCTGATTTCCAAGTGCTCCGACGTCTAATCTTGCGCCGTGGCTCGTTCGGAACGTCGAGCCTCCTGGGTAGTCGACGTTAATTGAACGAAATTAGCCGGGATGTTGTGCTGGCACGTGCGAGACGCAACGTCTTGACGGTAGAATTTCGCGAAGCCTTTGCACCCTTACGACGGTACATTAATTAAGGAGATTCGCGCGGGTCGAGGACACGCGAACGCGACGATGGAAGATGCGACCTTTCGGCGATGGAAATTTCACGCGAATTGGGTTATGAGTAGGGTCAGCGTTCAATGTCTCGAAGAGTCTGGACCAGAAAATCCCTTGGAAGTTCACTTGGAATTTAAAATGTTTGCCGCGAGGATCAAATATTAAAGTAGACTCTAATATCTTAACTTAGAGTTAAGAGCAAGCAGAAAGTACATCGAACTTGACGTCAATTTGTCCGCGTTTCCATCACAAAGTTATTTTCACACACCGTGTCCAAGTTAGTTTGGTTTTGTTTTATTTGAATCGAATACACGCGAAGCAAAGCAATCTTTACGACGATGTCTCGCTTTTGACGTTACGTTCTTCGGTCCATGAGTCTCCAACTGGACCACGGACTCGTGTAAACGTAAAAATCGAAGCTCG